GCTTCTCCTTCACCTCCTTCCTCTCTTCCTCCCGTCTGTCCTTCTGACGCACTGGGGAGAGCGAAGACGAACGGTGTCGTCGTGGAGATCTGTGTTGAAAGAATAGACGCATAGCTGGATGGAAGGGTTATTCAACACTTAAAAAAACAAAAAAAAAACAAAAACCTACACTATTAGCAAAAAGGGTTCTACATAGTACCAAAAGATTAAGAGACCCTTATTAGTCCCACAACGAAGAAATTTCACCTCCGCATTTTAACCCATCCATGCAGTGAAACACCACATACACACTAGTGAACACACACACTAGGGGGCAGTAAGCTCACTTGCCCAGAGCGGTGGGCAGCCCTATCCACGGCGCCCGGGGAGCAGTTGGGGGTTAGGTGCTTTGCTCAAGGGCACTTCAGTCACGTACTGTCGGCTCAGGGGATCGAACTGGCGACTTTCCGGTCACAGGGCTGGTTCCCTAACCTCCAGCCCACGACTGCCCCAAAAAGGGCTCTCTGCCTTGTAACAACAGTGTAATCCTTTTGGTGCTGTGTAGAACCATCTACAGCGTCTGTAGAACGTTCTCCATCAATCTGAAGAACGCTTTCATGATGCAAAGTACCTTTTACTCATGAAACTCTTCATTCATGGTTCTATAAAGAACCATTTTCTTTACTTAAGAACCCTTGAAGAACCAGCTTTTTAAGAGTATAGCTTTTACTTGTGACGCTCATTCTGAATCATTCAAAACCTTTCTTTTATTCACATATCAGTCATTTAGCTGCTTGACCCTAAACTCGACCCACACCTGGACCTCCGGCGGTGTGGTGAGCGCGAGCGGCTCCTCCGTCTGTCCCGGTCTCGAGATCGCGAACGATCTCGCTCTCTGCGTCTGCGGTCCCGGGATGTTGAGCGAGAGCGGCGTCTCTCTGAAATCATAAATAAAAGATCAGGGCGGAGCAAAGCTGTGAGAAGATAGACTTAAAGGAAAAATGGCTTCTCTTAGTTTGCCTTCTGGGGTTTTGGTTACTATAACCCCCCACATTCATGCTGCTGCGGTTTAGTTGAAGCATTTAAGACATTTCTATAAGTACATTAGTTATTATTACTACTATTATTATTATGATTGTGGAATGTTTAGCGTAAATAACATCATGGTACTGCTGTGTGCCTTTCTTTTTGAATGGATGCATGAATTAGTGCTGGGCAGTGATAAAATATGTCACAGTATTTAAGACTGTAGTACTCAGCTTAAGCGCTCATTCTTCCTAAGCATGGCTACTAGGAGATTTTGGAACCACTGGTGGTCTCAAGGAGTTGAAAAGGTTAACCTCTTCAACTCCTTGAGACCACCGGTGGCATCATATTCCCTTATAATAAAAGAAGCTGAACTCACTATTTTTTTTTCTACTGAAAGTCGCCCCATTTTTCCACAAATCTGGGCTATAAACTATAAACAGATGGCGTCTCTTCAGTGATCTGCTCTGTAAAAATTATTTTTATAAAATAATACAAAGAGCGTCTAAGATTTTTGGCTTTCAGCAGTAAATTGTAAGTATATAGCAATATAAGTATGATCATAAAACACATGTTCTGTTAATTTGAGGGGAGCTTTTACAAAAAATAAATAAATAAAATAAAAATTCACATTTATTACATGCAGTCACTGAACAACTCGCCTTACGATTTGGTCATGTAAATTCAGATGGACAAACCGAAATATACCCTGGAGAATAAAAGGTTAAGACAATTTTTTGATAACGTAGGTTTTTAAATTTTTAAAAATGCAGCTCTTGTAGTTTAAAAATTGCACTCTCTTAAACTGCGATTTCGATATAAAAACGATGAATCGTTTAGCACTATTTTGTGCTCTTCTTGTAACAAAGTAGCAGGTATTTTTGTGCCTTTTTTAAGCCCCTGGTATGTGTGTTATTTTCAGTGGTGGTCAGTAATGAAGTAAATGTAATTCATTACTGTACTTAAGTAGTTTTTTGTGTATCTGTACTTTACTGAAGTTTTTCTATTTTGGGTGACTTTTTACTTTCACTCCACTACATTTCAAAGTCAAATATCTTATTTTTTACTCCACTACATTATGAGAAATCTGTCCTTCCTTTTGGTTTATGTGTGTATAAAAACATAACATGTCGAAGCGAAAGAAGAGTGAAGCAAGAACACCAATCAGGGCACAGCGGTCACTTTGTTTTGACCTGATTGGTCATACCGACCCAGTGCAGCACACGGTTCAACATCAGTGCAGCAGCGTAAAAGTTTGGGAGAGTTTATTCAACATAAATGATGAACTAACCTAACTTTGTGTAAACAGACCACAATATAGAAATATGTACTCATATGCAGTTGAGACTGACGTGTCTTTATTCTGAATTTATACAAACACATTTCATTTTATAGTAAATTAGTTTTGGCTAGTTTATGTTTATGAACAGAGACCTACAGATGCAGTTTAGTAAAGGAAACTCATTTGTGAACCTGAGTTTAAAGTTTTTATTAAACTTAAACTTGTAACTAAGTTGTAAATAAATCTTAAACTGAAACTTTGCTGGTTTGTAAAAAGTGATTTCAGAGCCACTCAGTTCTACCTGATGGAAACTGTTTGCCTTCAGTGTTTTGTGCTTATGATAATTTTAATAGACATCAGCGTCACTAATTAATGACATTCTATTAAAAAACTGGTTTACCAAGAGAGACACTGGAGTATTTTCACCTAAAATGGGTTAATGAAGCGAGTCTTGTTACAAAAACGGTAATATGACATCAGAGCCATAATTAATCTTTTAGTACTTTTACTTAAGTACATTTTAAGGCAAATACTTTTGTACTTTTACTCAAGTGGAGGTCTAAAGGGAGGAACTTCTACTTTTACTGGAGTAATATTTTACCTTGGGTGTCTCTACTTTAACTCAAGTACATGGTTTGTGTACTTCGTCCACCACTGGTCATTTAGGTTTTTAAATTTTTACAAATGCAGCTCTTGCAGTTTAAAATTGCAGTTTTTACTCTCAAACTGCGATTTCGATATAAAAACGATGAATCGTTCAGCACTATTTTGCGTTCTTCTTGTAACAAAGCAGCAGTTAAATTGGTGAATATGTACAAAAGGACTGTTAGCTAATAATTTTGTGTCTTTTTAAGCCTCTGGTTTGTGATATTTCTTTAAATTGTTGCTGTCCTTCACTTGTTTGTATGTGTTGATGCATTAAATAAATAGGAACCCACTCAGTTCCGATGGGACCACTGCTAAACGGAAGAGGCTCCACTATGGGGACTGCTAGCACTCCATTAAAAAAAAAAGATATTTATTCAATAAAACAGAGAGGATTTTTACTGAAGACCTTAAATCAGCTATTCAGCTCTGGTATTAGTAGCCAACGTTAGCAGCATCAACAGAAACCACACATTCGACTCTTCAGGCTCACGGATGGATAAACCGCGAACTGTTTAGCACTCAAACTGAACGTTTGAGAATAAAAGTAATAAAATCTTATAAACCACAATGTCGAAGTTTCCTTATTAATGCTTTAAAAGAGTCAACAAACAATAAAACCGGCCCTTGTTCATGTAAACAGCCGAGCGGAACGCTGTTGCTGTTGTTGTTAAAACGCCGCCGACTCGATTCGATTCCGACAGTCACAGCTCGTAAATTCGGCCTTATTAAAAGTTAAATTTCATTCAGACCTCGTCGTGGTGGTGTTCTGCTCCTGCTTCGCCCCATTATCCGCTTATTTGAAGCCTAAATCCTTTATTTTGATCAGTTTTGTGAGAAACTCCACACGCCTCTACAGCGGCACTACGCCATTTGAGAACAAGCGCACGTAAAATGGCTCCGGTGGAAACTAAGAGTGAGCAACTCAGTTCCGACCTAAACGTCCTGATATAGAGCAAAGAAAATGTCTGTGTTAACAACAACAACAACAACAACAACAACAACAACAATAATAATAATAATAATAATAATAGAAGGTAACTCATTTGCATAAGGAAGGGAAAGTCAAACGGGTTAATAGATGTATAAAAAAATGGGACTCAACCACTGTGCAAGTCCTGGTAGTCCTAAACATCCTGAAATAGACCAAAGAAAATGTCTGTGCCTTTTTTGGTGTTATTATTATTATTATTATTAATAATAATAATAATAATAATAATAACAAAAACAATAATAATAATAAGGTAACTCATTTGCATAAGGAAGGGGAAAGTCAAATGGGGAAAAAATAAATTAAAAAATAAATTAAAACCACAAGTTTCCAAAACTGGAGTTCAAAAACTTAGTAGATTTATAAAAAAATGGGACTCAACCATTGTGCAAGTCCTGGTAGTCCTAAACATCCTGAAATAGACCAAAGAAAATGTCTGTGTTAATACTAATACTAAAACTACTACTACTACTACTACTACTAATAATAATAATAATAATAATAAGGTAGCCATTTGCATAAGGAAAGGGGAAAGTCAAATAAATTAAAACCACAAGTTTCCAAAACTGGAGTTCAGAAACATATTAAAAGATTTAGAGAAAATGGGACCAACCACTGTTCAAATCCTGGCAGACCAGAAAAAACTGCCCCCATCAGATAAACAGCACTTAAAGCTTTCATCTCTGAGAGAGAGGAGAAAATCAAGCTGCTTCAGATCTGAAAACATCCACAGGTGTTTCTGTCCATCCTTCCACTGTGAGAAGACGACTCAGCGCTGTGGGTCTGAAAGGATGTGTAGCTGTCAAGAAGAACCTCACTGAGAAAAGGAGACGGACACATCAAACAAAGAAGCTGAGCAATGGACTGACCACCCCAGAGTCCAGACCTCAACATCACTGAATGTGTTTGATTACTTCAGAAAATGACTGACCAACATCTAAGACTGAACTTTGGAGGTGTGTCTGCAGATTCTTTGAGGAACTGAAAGTGAGTCTCCTGAAAAGAGTGTATCTGTGTACAGTGCATTCATTTCTGTATGCTTTCTATTAATGCAGAAGAAAACACCGGAGGCAAAAGTCCCTTTCAATGAGTTTTAATGATTGGTACAACCTAGCATTGATCACCTTACATTCTAATATGACATGGATTCAGACTTGAAAACCAGCAGATATACACACAAAAGCGTTTAAATAAGAGATACAGGTCATAAAAATAATTACAACTGCAAAGAAGTTCCCCCTTTAACTGTACAAAATAAAAACGAGGAGTGGAATGTTTCAGTGCCTTTTAACGTTGCATAAATAAGCCAGATTCTCTTCTTTTCATTCAGTATTGTTTGTTTTTTTTTTTCTTTTTCAATAGCTTATTCCATGTTGTTGCAAGACATTTCGCCATCACTGCTGCAATTTGCCGTATTCCTGCTATTCGAAACCAAAAAAGTGGGATCGTATGAAACACGGACAGGAAACCAGCTTTCAGTCCGTAGAGAGCTCACGATTACACTTCGTAGAATTATACAAACAGTTGTGCAATATGACCATCAGTGAACAATCATAGTTGACTAATATGAACAATCAAAATGATGTGAGTGCTTACTTGATGCCACATTCTCGTCTATATGCTTGTGCTAAGTGCAGTATCGGTTTAAAAGCGAGGGGGGAGAGAGAGGAGAGCTCGTCTGGAGCTTTTTATTCCTTTTCGAGGGTTAGTCAGGATCGTGATGGGAGATTTGAATGAAAATTAGCTTCATGTCACAAAACAATAACCCAAAAAATGGCGTGAGTGGACGAACAGATCGATACACAGTGAGTCTGAACGAGCGTAAGTGCAACTTGGTTAGCCGAGGGCTCGTGAGCGGCGCGTGTGTGAGTGTGTGTTACTGTAGTGTTACTGCAGAAGTGTCTGTGAACGTTTCCGAAGCTCAGGTTTCAGCCTTCTCCTTCTGCTTCTTGCTCTTCTTCAGGAACGAGGGAGCTTTGAACTTCTTCTTCTTCTTGGAGGGCGACTTGGAGGGGGACCCCTCCGGGGTGGTGCCCGGGGGCTTTGTGGGCGGGGCGGCGGGCGGGGCTAGAGGCGAGCTTTCCGACGTGTCGTTGGTGGTCAGGGCCTTCAGTCCTTTCTCCAGCTCCTCCTGCTGCTTCTCGTCCTCCTCTTTTCCGTTCTGTACAGCTTCTGTGGTGTCGCCGTCTACGGGTACAGGAAAGAACGCGCAGATTAAACAGAGCTCAAAGGGGAATTCCACCAGCTTTACAAAATTTGAGCATAATTCAAACATTGAGGTGTAAACCACATGAGTCAGGCTCCAGTCCTCGTGGGCCAAAACACTGCAGACTTCAGGACACTGCCTCGTTAAATACACCTGATTTAGGTCATCAGCTAAGTAGCAAGGCTAATTCAGAGCATTGGATAAGAGTAAACACTAATATCCACAACAATTTGGCCCAGAAGGTCCCCAGTTTGATATGCCTGATGTAAACAACATCATTCAGAGTGGTTTGGTGTGAAATGCTTCATTCTAGAGAACTTAGAAAGAGAGAATTGTTCACAGTGGTGCTGATAGGAACCAGACGTCTGAAGACTTTAATGCCTCTAAAAGTTCTTTAACAGAAAGTTATTACATGAAATGGTAAGGGATATGTTGACTGGTGATCAAGACTTTGTTTTATGATAGTTTTGAGAGGGTTTTGGTCTAAAATATTTAATATTTATGCAATTTATGGCAGAGAGGCACATTCAGGGCATTCCAAGGCAAAACAGTCCCAAAAAACATTCATATTTACTACTATTTTACCATTATTAACATTATATACACATAAAAAGTCACATGTAAGTTCAGTGGTCATTTTGGATAGTAAATAAAACGTCTATATTTGTGTTGTAGACATCATGACTCCTGGTTCCCATCACCACCACTGTAAAGAAATCCAAGTCGTTAAGTTTCTCTCCAATGAAACATTTCACATCAAATCACTCTGAATGACTTTATTTTCATCTCAATTGATGAATTCTGCAGAAATTTTGAAAAATCTGTGGAATCCTCCTTTAAAGGGCCCATTTCCTATATATTTCCTTTCCCCCGAGGTCCACCTGTAGCATCTGTGTGAGTTTATTTAGCACAAATAGTCATAATTAGTCATACATAGCCTCTTTATTCCTTAAAATGAAAGGAGAACTCCACCAATTTTTCAAAATCTTTGCACTTTTCCATTGTTGCGATGTAAAGAAAGTCATTCAGAGTGGTTTTATGTAAAATGTTTTGTTGTAGAGAAAGTTATGGACTCAGATTCCTTTACGGTGGTAGTGATGGGAACCAGGGGTCACGATGTCTACAACACAAATATAGCCATTTTATTTACTATCCAAAACCACCAGTGAACCTACAGGTGTCTTCTGAGATTTTATATGTAATGTTTTTATTGGTAAAATAGTGTAACATCTGAATGAAATACATTTTTAGGGGGACCATTTTGCCTTACAATGCTCTGCATGTACCCCTTCGCCATGAATGGATTGAAATAAATGGATTAACAAGATGTTTTAGGCCAAACATTTATCACAAAACTATCGAAAACAATGTCTTAGACATCAGTATTCATAACCACTTTGTGTAACAACTTTCTGTTGCAAACTTTTAAAGGCATTAAACTTTTCAGACGTCTGGTTCCTATCACCACCATTGTGAACAATTCTGACTCAGTATTTATTTTAGAACAGAGCATTTCACATCAAACTACTCTGAATGACTTTGTTTACATCTTAACCATTTAATTATGTAGAAATAAAAAAAAAATGGTGGAGTTCCCCTTCAAACAGGCTGTGTTTGTCACTGTGCCTTTAAGAGTGCTACATGTAAACAAGCTCTGTTCTGATTGGCTGCCCTGTATTGCGCCTCATTTCAAAAGCAGTCCAGGCTGAAACACTCCTTACAAGTTCAGGGTGAATGGGTGGAGCTAAGCTGCTGTAGGCTGTGCAGGCAGATGTACATGCATTGGTTTTTGTGACATCACAAAAACAATCATTTTAAAACAGGCTGTTCTTGCAGCTTAGTTCCCATAGATGGACTGTGTGGAAATTTTAATGGCAGTATATTTTGAATTAATGTCACAAAAACTATCACTCTTAAAAAAGATGGTTCTTCAAGGGTTCTTTAGCAAAGAAAATGTTTCTGTATAGAACCATGAACACTCATGGAACCTTTGGCATGATTAAAGAGTTCTTTGCATCATGAAAGCATTCTTCAGACTGATGGAGAATGTGTAGTAGATGGTTCTATATAGAACCTTTTTGAAAATGGTTCTATTTAACACCCAAAAAGGTTCCTCTATTGTTACGATGTCAAGGCTGTAATAATACAAGAACCCTTTTGGGTGCTATTTAGAACCCTTTTTTAAAAAGTTCTATATAGAACAATCTACAGCACATTCTCCATCGGTCTGAAGAACCCTTTCATGATGCCAAGAACCCTTTAATCATGCAAAAGGTTCTTTGAGTGTTCATGGTTCTCTATAGAAACATTTGCTTTGCTAAAGAAGCCTTGAAGGACCATCGTTTTTAAAAGTGTAGCTCATCTACATACATCCATGCTTTCAGGCTACAGCAGTTTAGCTCCTCCCACTGTCTGTGTTTACCTGCAAATTTTCTGCAAATCCGATTGAATTCGCACCGATTACAGATTAAGACTGAGGTGTTTATGCTCACTCTACTCAACAATCTGATGAAAATCCCCGTTTTCATGCTCACTACAAGCAATCTGACCCAAATTACGTGCATGCATAGAACCGCTTAGTGTAGACGTTACCATGACAACGAGCATCACGTCAGTCAGAGTGAGACGAGCAGCAGTGAGCAGTGCTTTTGTTTTTAACTGCTTTAAAATGATGTCAGACTCAGGAAAACGTCCTTCACATGTCCTTATTAAAGAAGGCCGAGAGGAAGACGTCGTGTTCTGAGTCACATAAGCTGGACGTCCGTCCCACCGCCGTCTTTTAAAGATCAAAGCATAAACTTCGTCTCCTCTGCAGACCAGTTTCTGCTCCGCCATGTTGAACGGTATAAACTTTCACTATGACGTGATGAACATGATCAGAACGGACTTAAACTTTCTGATAGGGAATGTAATCAGATACAGGCGTTTACACGGAAATTATTCTTCTATTTAACGGATTATTTACATCAATCGCATAGAAGTTGTAGTCCGAATGGCCTCATTCGGACTAGTCTATTCCGATTGAGGTGTACACATGTACGTATTGTATTCCGACTGAGCTAGTAATTGGATTATTAATGGATTATTAGGCTGCATGTAAACGTGGCTTAAACACAGCCTGTTTAATTCTCTGCAATAAAGAGAGGTTGGAAAATGGTCAGGTAAAAATGAACTACATACCTCAGGAAAAAAAACTTAAAAAATACAAGACAAATACAGGATATGGGCACTTTAACAAAGAAAAGCAAGGGAATTTCAATTTTACATGATATCGGCCTTTTAAAGTGATGCTACTTTTAAAAATCAAGCTGATTGGACAAGACATGTTTCCTGCTCTTCTGCACTGGAGCTACAAGGCTAATGTACACTCTTAAAAAAGACGGTCCTTCAAGGGTTCTTTAGTAAAGAAAATGGCTCTATATAGAACCATGAACACTCAAAGAACCCTGTGCATGATTAAATGGTTCTTTGTATCATGAAAGGGTTCTTCAGATTGATGGAGAATGTGCTGTAGACGGTTCTCTATAGAAACCTTCTGAAAAAGGTTTCTATATAGCGCCCATTGTTACAAGCTTGACATCATAACATTAGAAGAACCCTTTTGGGTGCTATATAGAACCATACAGAACCATCTACAGCACATTCTCCATCAATCTGAAGAAACCATTCATGATGCAAAGAAGCCTTTAATCACACAAATGGTTCTTTGAGTGTTCAAGGTTCTATATTGAACAATTTTCTTTACTAAAGAACGCTTGAAGAACCGTCTTTTTTAAGAGTGTTTATCTAGCACCTAATGGAAGTCTATTCACTCAAAATAATGAACAATACATTACCCTTAAAATTAAGGAAGCAAACTTCACACACAAGCTAATCGAAACCAGGCATGCTTGAATTTTTTTTGCCAGCGTTCTTTACAGCTTGTCCCACTTAGCAACAGTTGCTATGAAAAGGACACATCTGTGGGCAGAGCATGGACAGGTCAAACTGAGCTCCGCTGCGTTTTACAGCCATGCCGAGGCGTGCAGGCGAGGTGTGAGGGCTCACCTGAGGGAGGGGGTTTGGTGGGGGTTTTGGTGGGGGAGGCCGCAGGGGGAGTACCTGCGTCGTTCAGCACCTCCTCCCCACCTGACACAGCCAGAAAAGAGGTGAATACAGAAGAAATTAAAGAGAAAAACAGGAAAGAAACACAAAGGACAAAGTGATTAGTGCGTTAAAGTGAAGGGATTAGAGTGAGTGAAGGGTGAGAGGTGAGGGACGGACAGCATGGAGCTCGGTGAGAGAAAGTTTTGTGGCTATTAAAGTCAACGTGAATGGAAAATCATAATGCATTGTAATCTGTGCTGCGACATACACGGATCAAACATTATGACCACCTCCTTGTTTCTACACTCATTGTCCATTTTATCAGCTCCACTTACTATATAGGTGCACTTTGTAGTTCTACAGTTACAGACTGTAGTCCATCTGTTTCTCTGATACTTTGTTAGCCCCCTTTTACCCTGTTCTTCAGTGATCAGGACCCCCATGGACCCTCACAGAGCAGGTACTATTTGGGTGGTGGATCATTCTCAGCACTGCAGTAACACTGACATGGTGGTGGTGTGTTAGTGTGTGTTGTGCTGGTCTGAGTGGATCAGACACAGCAGTGCTGCTGGAGTTTTTAAACACCTCAGTGTCGCTGCTGGACTGAGAATAGTCCACCAACCAAAAATATCCAGCCAACAGCGTCCTGTGGGCAGCGTCCTGTGACCACTGATGAAGGACTAGAGGATGACCAACACAAACTGTGCAGCAGCAGATGAGCTATCGTCTCTGACTTTACATCTACAAGGTGGACTGACAAGGTAGGAGTGTCTAATAGAGTGGACAGTGAGTGGACACAGTGTTTAAAAACTCCAGCAGCACTGCTCTGTCTGATCCACTCGTACCAGCACAACACACACTAACACACCTCCACCACATCAGTGTTACTGCAGTGCTAAAAATGATCCACCACCCATCAGATTTTAAACTAGTGTTGCCATCAATAGTTGCACTTACAACTGCATATCCAATAGAATGCTAGCAAAAATTAGCATTACTGTAGTGTAGTGATGATACAGAGTGAAGGTTTCTAGTGCTTGGTGTAAAAGACTTTGTGTATTTGTCTTTACTTTACACTCTCCAAGCTGGGACTGACTTCTTTGGCACTGACAACATAACATGTTATTAACACTACTTATAATACTTTATGTCAACAATTCATATGACTATAAAGTGCAATTCAGTGTAAATTATTTTTATAAATATTTATAACCATGTTTATAATGCCTTATGAATGCATTATAACATGTTATGAATGTGTTTATAGATGCTTAAAAACGTGACATTCATAGAAAGTGTTACCTTTGTTGTAAAGTGTTACTCTGTTGTGTTTACTTTGTATTGTAAAGCACTTCGAGCTGCATTTTTTAATGTATGAAAGGTGCTACGTAAGTAATCATTATTATTGTCATCATGGTCAGTATCTGAGGGAGTTTTAGAGCCGAGGAAAAGGCTTTACTGCACATTTGAGTCTGATCTTCAACACTGTGCACGATAAGCACTGTCTTTTCCTCTGACCTACAGCAGCGGCCAGTTTGGCTGACTAAGTGCAGCATCATCTACTGCCCAGAGAGAGAGATGGAGTGGATTTATACAGGAAAACAGCAACTCTGAACAAATCAGACACACTTAGTGGCACAAATGCGTGTAATGCTCTGGTGTGAACAGGTGTTTATTGTGAGCAAGTGTATTTTGTATATTGTCGCTGTCAGAACAAAAACCTTGTATGTTCTTCACTCCTGTTAGGTTACTGTTTTGGAGATGGGAGGTTTTGTTCCAACAGTGATGATGTATTCGGTGTTTACGGCATCATATCGCTGTTGTCGGAAGAAACCCTCATATCTCCATTTTTGATGTTTTTCAGTTTATGACATGATTTGAAAATACCTGTTGTTCTTTACATTGTGTGTACATTTCATGATGAATGGACCAAAAGAAACGACCCAAAATTACATGGAAAAAAGTCTGGTTCCATTGACTTACATTAAAAGTACAGTATGTTTTTTCCTTCTCCTGTAAAGTCACCATTTTGGAGACGAGGTTTTCTTCCGACAACAGCGACATGCATTTTGAGATTAGATAACGTATTACCTGCTGTGCACACCTCACTATCGCCTCTTGTGTAATGTTATAGTATTTGCACTTTTCTGTTGTCTCATAGCTCTTGTGCTGTCTTTTAGGGATGCTTCCGAAATTTAGAATATTAAAATAGCCATAAATGTTTTCAAAATTAGCTTCTTTCCAACATAACATGTTCTCATATTGAAGATCCATTAAATGTGTGAACTCTATACTCCATTGTAACGCAGAGAAGGTGGTTCCTTGAGGGTTCTTTAGTAAGGAAAATGGTTCTATAAAGAACCATGAACACTCAAAGAACCCTTTGCATAATAAAAGGGTTCTTTGCACCATGAAAGGGCTCTTCAGAACATGCTGCAGACGGTTCTATATAGAACGTTTTTGAAAAGGGTGCTATTTAGCACCCAAAAGGGTTCTTGACATCATAACAATAGAACAACGCTTTTGGGTGACAATTTAACAATTTAAGACCAATTTAGCAATGCAAGAATGCATTTTAACAGTTGAATGGTTCTATATATAACCACTGCCTATACTAAAGAACCCTTCAAGAACCCCCTGAAGATTGAGAAGATAGAGACTGGATGAAAAATGCTGGTGTGCTCCTTTAAGTAACCATTCATTGAGGTTCTTTATGGAATCAACTACGGTTCTTCTACTGCATCTTCTCTTCTTGCACCTTTATTTTTAAGAGTGTGAGGAAACTTTCAAAGCTTGAACTCTCCTCCGGTGATTATTTGCAGGTGTTATGTCGTACCGTCCTGGCTGAGCTGTTTGCGCTGGACTTCTTTACGGTACTCCTCCAGCTCCTGATCCGTCAGCTCGTTAAACGGGTTCGGGGGTTCAGGCTCGGGGGTCGAAGGAAGCTCCACCTTCTCTGGAGACTAGGAGGGCACACACATAGAAACGCTGAGGGTTAGCTTAGCACTCACTCTTTAATTCACTGCAAATGACTCCCTGCTTGTGATGTTTGTATTATGTTAAAGCAACAGTTCACAATTACAAAATACACAGTTTACACCCCCCCAAATAGAGTCAAACAGCCAAGACATGTCAGATGTCTGAAGTTGCTTCTTCAGCTTTGTGCTGGAGCTACAAAGCCAATGTAGCTTACAAGTAATAGAAGCTTATTTACAGGGATGGGGGAGTAGCTAAGTAGCGCTATAGATGCTTTTCTTGCATCTCAGTACATTTTTCCGCGAGTTTCTGTTTGACTTTTTATGAGGTTGAAGTTGCTTCTCATTCACCAGCTTCTCATTCGAATTGTCCTATTCCACCTTAAATGGTGCCTGAGGCACCAGACTGTACTGCTGCCCCATTTAAGGTGCAACAGGAAAATTCGAACGAGAAGCTGGTGAACGAGTCATTGTGGAGGATTTTGAGGCGAAAGTGTTGCTGAAGTTTAAAGGACCCTTAATGTCGTATCTGAACATATCTGGCTGAAATGTTTAAATTGAAGCAGTTTTATTTCAACAGTTGACAACACGTTGCACAAAATTGTTTGGTTTATATGGTTATTTTTGTTGATTTTTGTTAGGAAAAACCTGGAATGATTGACTTTGAATTTTTTGTTGGATGTCACACCTTTAGTTGTGTAAGTTTGAGTGTTGGTTACACTTAAACTCACTTTTTGGTGATCTTTTTTATATTTGCAGCTTTTCAATTGTATGTTTCTTACTGGCACATGATTAAATGCAGCGTCTTGTTCACAGTTGGACTTGTTTGTCAGGTGGAGGTTCACAAACATTCTGACAATCGAGCTTTGAAAGTAGCTAAAAAGTAGACACTACTTTTCAAAAAGTAGCTAAAAAGTAGTCACTACTTTTCAAAAAGTGGCTAAAAAGTAGACACTACTTTTCAAAAAGTAGCTAAAAAGTAGTCACCACTTTTCAAAAAGTAGCTAAAAGTAGTGAACTACTTTTTGAAAAAGTAGCTAAAAAGTAGTGCACTACTTTTCAAAAAGTAGCTAAAAAATAGACACTACTTTTCAAAAAGTAGCTAAAAAGTAGACACTACTTTTCAAAAAGTAGCTAAAAAGTAGTCACTACTTTTCAAAAAGTAGCTAAAAGTAGTGAACTACTTTTCAAAAAGTAGCTAAAAAGTAGTGCACTACTTTTCAAAAAGTAGCTAAAAAGTAGACACTACTTTTCAAAAAGTAGCTAAAAAGTAGTCACTACTTTTCAAAAAGTAGCTAAAAGTAGTCACTACTTTTCAAAAAGTAGCTAAAAAGTAGTGAACTACTTTTCAAAAAGTAGCTAAAAAGTAGTCACTACTTTTCAAAAAGTAGCTAAAAGTAGTGCACTACTTTTCAAAAAGTAGCTAAAAAGTAGTCACTACTTCTCAAAAAGTAGCTAAAAAGTAGTCACTTTTCAAAAAGTAGCTAAAAAGTAGTCACTTTTCAAAAAGTAGCTAAAAAGTAGACACTACTTTTCAAAAAGTAGCTAAAAAGTAGTCATTACTTTTCAAAAAGTAGCTAAAAAGTAGTCACTACTTTTCAAAAAGTAGCTAAAAAGTAGCCACTACTTTTTCTGGAAAGGTAGCTAAATTGTAGCTGGCTACACATTTTGGGAAAGTAGCTACAAAGTAGCTAACTACTAATTTTTCAGTAGCTATCCCAACCCTGCTTATATACACCAATTAGCACTAAATTCTATAAAGTAAACGGTAATAGACTTGTTTATGTGGATTCTGACACTGCATGACATACTGCTATCTAACAACATTCAGCAGCAGTCTGCTACTACTGTTTTTAGTATAATCTATACTCCTAAAGTGTTTTAAAGTGAACTCTTCCGTATGACGATAATTATGTACACAGTACAAGTTATTCATTTTTCTGTAAATAAAAACACATTTACCAGAAAACTTCACAGAAACCTCAGTAACTTAACATAATATCATATTTATTGAGTATTCAGTGTGTCCACTCTCTACCTTTCTTACAGCTTCCATTCATTTCAGGAGACTCGCTTTCAGTTTCTCAAAGAAATCTGCAGACACACCTCCAAAGTTCAGTCTTAGAAGCTGGTTAGAGGTTGTTTTCTCTGCTTCTCATGATACAAATTATTCTAATTCTGAACAGCTACACATCCTTTCAGACCCACAGCGCTGAGTCGTCTTCTCACAGTGGAAGGATGGACAGAAACACCTGTGGATGTTTTCAGATCTGAAGCAGCTTGATTTTCTCCTCTCTCTCAGAGATGAAAGCTTTAAGTGCTGTTTATCTGATGGGGCCAGTTTTGGTGTCAACCAGGTCTTCCAGGTGGTTGTTAGGAGCCACATTTTCTCTGTAGCTTTTAATCGTTTTTTGAACTCCAGTTTTGGAAACTCTCTTTTTTTCCCTTTGGCTTTCTCTTTCCTAATGCAAGTGGATTATTTTATCTAATCTCCTCAAAAAATAAATCCAGAAAAATGAACAACTTGTACTTAATGGCTTTTTGACTGGAAATTAAATGAAAGAAAAATTGTCTCTGACTTTTGCAAAGTACTATAATTTAAACAGTCTCCAGTTTAGCTTTTATAATATTCCAGACAAAACAGAATATAAAAAAAGATAAAATCCTATGTGGCTATTTCTCTCCACTTAACTATATGAACAAGAGCTAAGACACGCGAGGAAAATTAATACAATTTAACGGAAATAATGAAATAGATTCGAATATTACATCCTCTAGTGTCTTACACTAATTCTGACAAATGTTAGGCCTTCATCATTCAATCCTAAGGCTGTGTGTGTTATGTAAACTGTAATTACTGCAGTAATATTTTATCGTGCAACTTAATATAGTCTATGTTTGTTGTAAAACATCAGTCTGCAGAGATCTTTGCACTGCAATGTTTGCATGAAAAGTTCTACACATATAAAGTATGAGATGGTGTCGTACCGGTGGGCTGTTGTCCGTAATGACGCTGGCTAATAACTGAGACTGAGGTCCTGCTGTCTTCATGTCCTGACGATTCTGCTCTCGGATCTGAAATAAAAACAGATATGCTTTTCTCAAAAATGCACAAAGTTCAGTTCACGTTAATAAATTCATCTTAATAAAGTTATTGCTGGAGATCAGACACAAAATGGCTATCATCAGTGTTCTGCTTGTACGTTACCCCTTTTAACTGCTCTAAGACCAGTCCTGGTCTAGTTAAATCCTAACCTAGCCCTTGTGGCAGTTTACAGTATAAACCAGGGGTCGGCAACATGCGGCTCTTTAACTGCCCTGTTGTGGCTCCACAGCAGATTTTTAGGTAAAAATAAAATAATCCTCCTTTACAGTAAAATAAAGCTCTGCTGATCGTTCAACACAGTTTAACACTAAATGGTCTTAAACTCTGGAGTTAATGTAGAACTGCTGATTCACCCTTTAACCCTGAAGATCAGCGCAGACTGCTGGTCACCACAGCAATGCAGACAACAATCTCGCCTTGCTAGTAGCTAACGAAACGGCAAAGAGAGAAATGTAAGACGGACATTGATAATTCGGAGACGAACTGACTTATTTGTGTTTATAATCACTCCAGCTGGTTTCCTGATACGTTTAATCTGCAACGAGAAACTGTCCAACACTAAAACGTCACAGAGCTGAAGTCGCTTCTCTTTCTCAGGCTTCTTGTTCCAATTTTCCCGTTCCACCTTAAATGGTGCAGCAGTTACATTCTAGCACCTCACTATTTAAGGTGGAATGGAAAAATTCTAACAAGAAGCCGGTGAATGAGAAGCGACTTCAGCCTCGTAAAGAATTGAACATTAAGAGACATTCTAAAAGAAACTATTCCTTTTGGAAAGGTTTCCTGCCAGAGATGTGAGAAAAGCAGCTACAGCTGAGTTAAAGCCTAAAGCAGAGCAAAGTAAGTCTGCGTTTTCGTTTATATTATTATTTTTTTTAGCCTATTCTAGTACATTAACACATACTGAGACATATTTACAGCCAAAACGGTAAAATGGACCTTAAATGTTGTGGCTCCCAAGGTGGTTTGATTTTTGCTGAAAGGACAAAAATAGCTCTTCTTAACATTTGGGTTGCGACCCCTGGCCTATACTAACTCCATGATCTTAACACCTACAAGGTATAAGAAAGCTGATCCCAGATCAGCAAAAAAAAAGCATCTTCCATCAGCACTCGAACACAAAACTGTACCTTATTTCTGGTCTCCAGCACCTCCTGAGGGTTAGTGAAGAGAGGGACGAACTGGTTTGGGTTTTCGATCTTAATGGCTGTTCCGCTGCTTTGGGTTACTTCATCCGTCCTCAGCCACTGAGGGGGAAAGATCATGACATACAGACGTTTACAGATGTAGAAAGTTCACTTATGCTCTGTTTATTGACATTATTATCGGCAGACTGTAGACTCACTAAGCTGGCGAATAAAGTTAATTAAGTGCAGTACAGAGGGACCAAACGAACACACAACCACAGTCATAATCAGCCAGCAGAGGGCAGTAGAGGCACTGCAGTGAGGTTTATGGGCTTGAAATATCCCCTGCATTGCAGAGGGGATTGAAAAAGGAGGAACGAGAGAGAAAGAGAGAGAGAGAGAGAGAGAGAGAGAGATTTTCCACTGATGTAGAAGCAAATCTGCCCCAGTACTCTATGATTTCTCCTGTTTCAGACAGAATTTCCAGTGTGATCACTGGGCCTGAAATCTCTTTAATACATTAATAAACTCATATTTTGATCAGCAGACATCCTTGATTATGACCTGATGACAGAGATGGGTGGTAACTACCTTTATTTACATTTTTTATCAATTATGCAAAGGGTTGTTTGAGCGCTCATGGCTCTATATAGAACCATTTTCTTTCCTAAAGAACCCTTGAAGAACCTCCTTTTTAAGAGTGAAGATATATCCACTAGGTTTAGAGGAGCACTCTGGGTATAAAAATGAAAAATGTAATCATCACATCTGCTGAAAACATGCCTGTTTGCCTCCTACACTAGTCTCTCGAGTGAGATCTTCCAGTTTAAAGAGCAGGAAAACCCCCTTCTGATGATGCGTCTTGAAGGTGGGAGGAGCTTTGGAAAAGTGACAAGCGTTTTGGGGGAGATACTTCTTAATGTTCAGAATCTGAATATCACATTTGTATTTGTTAGCCTCTACACTCTTAAAAATGATGGTTCCTCAAGGGTTCTGTAGTAAAGAAAATGGTTCTATATGGAACCATAAACACTCAAAGAACGCTTTGCATGATTAAAGGGTTTACTGCCGTGAAAGGGTTATTCAGACTGATGGAGAATGTGCTGTAGATGGTTCTTTATAGAACCTTTCTGAAAAGGGCTCTGTATAGCACCAAAAAGGGTTCTGCTATTGGTACAAGCTTGAAAACATCAATATCTAGAACTTCCAGAATGACTAGAGTGCCATTTTTGATGGATTTGCACTTTCCTGACTATTTTCATTTCTGCTTAAAAGAAAATTCCACCATTTTTGCAAAGTCATTAGGATGTAAATAAAATCATTCAGAGTGGTTTGATGTGAAATGATTTACTGTGGAAAAACATATATGGCGTCGCCATGACTACAACACAAATATAGTCATTTTATTTACTACCTACATGTGTCATGAGTTTTTTTATGTAATGTTGATGGGAAAACAGTTCTGAGTAAATAGTTTTTTTTTTGGGGGGACTATTTTGCCTCATGACCCCCTGCATGTATTTAAAAAAATATGTTTTAGGCCAAAACCTTCTCTCTGCCTCTGTTTAGAGGCATTAAACTCTTTAGACGTCTGGTTCCTATCACCCCCACTGTGAACAGTTGAATGTAGCTTCTTTTAAATATGCAGAAATCCTGAAAAATTCCGTTTTAGGTATAATTGTAATTAAAAAGATTTGCTTTTTATTCAGTTCCATTTAATTGGATTTCTTTGTGTTTGTTCAGCAGGCGCTGCTGTTTCTGGGCATGCAGTTGGACTCGTGAGTGGGAGCGCTTGCCCTCCTCCTCGGAACTGAGGGAGGTGACGGTGGTCAGGGCCTCTGAGACCGGTCACACGTCTGACTTTAGAGCTTGAGCATTTTAGTTTTGACCAAAAGGATTCAAAAAGAGAAAAGAGCCCAACAAATTTCAGTTCCTCTGCTGACAAGAAGCTCCACTGCAGTTAAAAACTCTTAAAAAAGATGGTTCTTCAAGGGTTCTTCAGTAAAGAAAATACTTCTGAATAGAACCATGAAAACTCAAGGAACCCTCTGAATGATTAAAGGGTTCTTTGCATCGTGAAAGTGTTCTTCAGATTGATAGAGAATGTGCTGTTTATGATTCTATGTAGCACCTTTTTAAAAGTGTTCTATGAGAGGGTTCTTCAGATTGACGGAAAATATGCTGTAGATGGTTCTATATAGTACCTTTTTTGAGAAGGGTTCTATATAGCGCAATTTAAAACACACTCCATCAATCTGAAGAACGCTTCCATGATGCAAAGAACCCTTTAATCATGCAAAAGGTTCTTTGAGTTTTTATGGTTCTATATAAAACCATTTTCTTTCCCGAAGAACCCTTGAAGAACCATTTTTTTAAGAGTTCATTATTAAGATGTCAAGCTTGTTATAATAGAAGAACCCTTTTGGTGCTATATAGAACCCTTTTCAAAAAAGGTTCTATATAGAACCATCTACAGCATATTTTCCATCAATCTGAAGAACCCTTTCATAATGCGAAGAACCCTTTAATCATGCAAAGGGTTCTTTAAGCATTCATGGTTCTATATAGAACCAATTTTGTTACAAAAGAACCCTTGAAGAACCATTCTTTTTAAGTGTATATTGTTAAAATGTCAAGCTTGTTTCAACAGAAGAACCCTTTTTGGTGCTATATAGAACCCTTTTCAAAAAAGGTTCTATATAGAACCATCTACAACACATTTACATCAATCTGAAGAACACTTTCATGATGCAAAGAACCCTTTAATCATGCAAAAGGTTCTTAAAATGTTCATGGTTCTATACAGAACCATTTTCGTTCCTAAAGAACCGTTGAAGAACCATCTTTTTTAAGTGTATAAGTTATAAGGTAGGCTATGCTACCCACCTCTCATTACTATACATATTAGTATGCAAATGAACCCTGCTGACCGTGGTGCGGTGGCCTGGGCTGGCCTGGTCCTGGTTGACCTTCTGGTAGGTGTTGGGGGTGTTGAGCCATCGCGTTTTCTCCAGCTGCTGTTTCTGGGCGTGGGGTTGAACTCGTGAGAGGGAGCGCTTGCCCTCCTCCTCGAAGCTGAAGGAGGTGACGGTGGCCGGGACCTCCACCTCTCTGCGGGTTCTGGAGCGCTCCAGCAGAACGGGGAAGCGATAGGCATAGCCAGTGCGGTAGCCCTGAACACATGGGACATAACGCAGTGAAGGCTTTGGTCAAAAACTGATAAAATGGCTTTCACTGCTGCTTCATAACGAGAATTCATTCAAAATGAACTGAGGAAGTTGTTTAAATTACAAGCTGAAAATACACTGACGTTAAACTCTTTTCACAGCAGCTTTAAAGTGCAGTTTCCGTCTGTTTTGGAGGCCCCTCAGTTTTTGTCCTTCAGTAAAGGAAGTGGAATATACATTAACTGAAATGTGTTCGATTTACAAAACCGGAGGCGACTTGGATTTTTGCCTTCGTAGGTAAACACACTAGTCGACATTTGTAAAAGTGTGTTTATTGTGCTTAAAAGCTGTTTTTATTTATATATTTACAGTTTTGGTCACTTTATTTTGAGCGTCCTTTTAGATGAAACTGACACTCAACAGACTCTCAGTAACATATCAAAAACATAGGTTAGGTTAGGATTAGAGCCAGGGTGAGGGTTAGGATTAGGTTTTGGGTTGAGGTTTAGGTTAGTGTTAGGATTAGGGCCAGGGTTAGGGTTAGGATTAGGTTTTGGGTTGAGGTTAGAGTCAGTGTTAGGATTAGAGCCAGGGTGAGGGTTAGGATTAGGTTTTGGGTTGAGGTTAAGGTTACTGTTAGGATTAGGGCCAGGGTAGGGTTAGGATTAGGTTTTGGGTTGAGGTTAGAGTCAGTGTTAGGATTAGAGCCAGGGTTAGGGTTAGGATTAGGTTTTGGGTTGAGGTTAAGGTTACTGTTAGGATTAGAGCCAGGGTGAGGGTTAGGATTAGGTTTGGGGTTGAGGTTAAAGTCAGTGTTAGGATTAGAGCCAGGGTGAGGGTTAGGATTAGGTTTTGGGTTGAGGTTAAGGTTACTGTTAGGATTAGGGCCAGGGTAGGGTTAGGTTTTGCGTAATGGAAGTAACGTATTTAATGTAAATAATGTATCAACAGAACATCTACAAGATATTTACTTCAATGTATTCCGATGCTTCACTACAGCTACTTCACTGAAATGTTATTGATGTGTAACTGATACTGTGTTAAGTAGTTTATTACTCATCTACAAAGGACCACTCCAAATAAAGTGTTACCACAATTTTATCATCAAGAGAGCTGCAGCTGTGCTGTCTGTTCTGAAGGCAGAGTATGTCTCTCACCAGGTTGTCGAGGGTCCTCATGAGTGCCTCGAATTCGTGCTCTCCGAGTCGGCTCTTGTGCATGGGACCGAACGTGGACCCGGCCCAGCCCACGGTGCCGGTGGGGTTGGGTTTGTGTGTGGTTCGGTCCAGCAGGATGAGGTTCTGCTCTCCTCCTGCGCAGCACATCGCTGACACCTGCCAACATGAACAAACCAATCTCTCTTTATCAATCAGAATTGAACAGACTGTTTTTGTTACTGTGCCTTTAAGATTGATATATGTAAATGAGCTCTGTTCTAATTGGCTGCCCTGTATTGTGTTGCATGGGCTACCTTCGGTGTGAATGAATAGGGCTAAACAGCTGTAGGTGGGTATATGGATATGTATTGGTTTTGTGAGAGAGATGTCTGTGTCGCTCTGACTCTCCCTGGGCCTCTCTCTCTCTCTCTCTCTTGCTCTCTCTCTCTCTCTCTATCGCTTTGGCCTACTGGCCCACTAATCGACTCTTTGACGTTATTCCTCAGAGGGCCTGCAGTAGTAGTGCTGGTATTTTTGGCGTACCTGGATTTGGCAGGCAGACTGGATGTGGTAGATGGTGTAGAAGGCTTCCTCCATGGATTCCCCCAAAGCCACGATGCCGTGGTTCCTCAGGACCAGGACCTGCTCCGGTTACAGAAACAATTACACACAACCAACTTCAGCTTATTTACTCCTTTAGAGACTAAATACAGAATACAATACATTTAAACGTCTTAAACTCTAAGGGTCTCTATGTGGATCCACACTTCACTTCCTCACCCTCATAACTGCAGAACGTACACATTAGTTTCCTAACAGATACTGATTAGTTCCAAAGTAGATACCGAATAATTTATACTAGATACCAAATAACTCATAGTAGTTACTGAAAAATCATAGTAGTTACTGAATAATTCATAGTAGCTACCACATAGCTAATTTATAGTAGATACTGAATAATTTATAGTAGATACTGAATAATTCATAGTAGACACTGAATAATTCATAGCAGATACTGAATAATTCATAGTAATTACTAAATAATTTATAGTAGTTACTGAAAAATCATAGTAGTTACTGAATAATTCAGAGTAGCTACCAAATAGCTCATAGTAATTACTGAATAATTCAGAATAGCTACCAAATAGCTCATAGTAATTACTGAATAATTCAGAGTAGCTACCAAATAGCTCATAGTAATTACTGAATAATTTATAGTAGTTACTGAATAATTCATATTAGACACTGATTATTTCATAGCAGATACTGAATAATTCATAGCAGATACTGAATAATTCATAGTAGATACTGAATAATTCATAGCAGATACTGAATAATTCATAGTAGATACTGAATAATTCATAGTAATTACTAAATAATTTATAGTAGTTACTGAAAAATCATAGTAGATACTGAATAACTCATAGTAGGTGACGAATAAGTAATAGTAGTTTTTGAATAACTCATAGTACTTACAAAATAAGTCACAGTAGTTACTGAATAATTCATATTAGTTACTGAATAAGTCACAGTGGTTACTGAATAATTCATATTAGTTACTGAATAAGTCACAGTGGTTACTGAATAATTCATATTAGTTACTGAATAAGTCACAGTGGTTACTGAATAATTCATATTAGTTACTGAATAAGTCACAGTAGTTACTGAATAATTCATATTAGTTACTGAATAAGTCACAGTAGTTACTGAATAATTCATATTAGTTACTGAATAAGTCACAGTGGTTACTGAGTAATAAGTCTTAAGATTATTACCCAAACAATACGCCTAGGGCTAAAGAGAATGCAATGGATGTTTTTTAATGAAATCATCATCAGCACCACCAATATGACTATTATAAACACATTTATAATACGTTATTATAAATTAATTCATTATTATTCTTATCATTGTTATTGTTGCTGTTGTTGTAATTTTCAACTTCATAATCATTAATTCTCATTAATATTGTCCATCACCTTGCATGTTGGACCCAGACTCTTCTGGAGGTCCACTCTGTCTTCCTCCTCTTCCATCATGCCATTGTAATCATAATAGGCCACCTCCCCCACCAGTAAAGCCTCATGGGATAGCGGGAGAAGGCCACACTTCATGGCTGACACCTGGGGAAGTGCGTGAGTGTGAGTAATCGACCTGTTCAAAGGCTAAAATAATGACACTTTCTCTCTTTTTTGATTTACCAAGCATTTCTGGTCATAGATCAAGGCTACACCTAGACTAAAATTACTAGAGTTGTGATGTAATCCAACACTTACACTTAAAGAAATACACCGATCAGGCGTAACATTATGACCACCTCCTTGTTTCTGCGCTCATTGTCCATTTTATCAGCTCCACTTACTATATAGGTGCACTTTGTAGTTCTACAGTTACAGACTGTAGTCCATCTGTTTCTCTGCATACTTTGTTAGCCCACTTTTACCCTGTTCTTCAGTGGTCAGGATCCCCATGGACCCTCACAGAACAGGTACTATTTGGGTGGTGGATCATTCTCAGCACTGCAGTAACACTGACGTGGTGGTGGTGTGTTAGTGTGTGTTGCGCTGGTCTGAGTGGATCAGACACAGCAGTGCTGCTGGAGTTTTTAAACACCTCAGTGTCACTGCTGGACTGAGAATAGTCCACCAACCAAAAATATCCAGCCAACAGCATCCTGTGACCACTGATAAAGGACCAGAGGATGACCAACACAAACTGTGCAGCAGCAGATGAGCTATCGTCTCTGACTTTACATCTACAAGGTGGACTGACAAGGTAGGAGTGTCTAATAGAGTGGACAGTGAGTGGACACAGTGTTTAAAAACTCCAGCAGCACTGCTGTGTCTGATCCACTCATACCAGCACAACACACACTAACACACAACCACCACGTCAGTGTTACTGCAGTACTGAGAATGATCCACCACCAAAATAGTACCTGATCTGTGAGGGTCCATGGGGGTCCTGACCACTGAAGAACAGGGTAAAAGGGGGCTAACAAAGTATCAGAGAAACAGATGGACTACAGTCTGTAACTGTAGAACTACAAAGTGCACCTATATAGTAAGTGGAGCTGATAAAATGGACAATGAGCGTAGAAACAAGGAGGTGGTCATAATGTTACGCCTGATTGGTGTAAATACAAGCTAGAAACCAGGGGTCTGTATGTGTGTTTGTGTGTATGTGTATGTGTATGTATGTGTGTATGTATCGTACAGCAGCAGTAGCGGGTGTGTGTAGATGCAGCAGGCAGCGGACGTCCGGCCGGGCGGAGTAAATGGCCGAATGCAGGCTGAAGGCAGGCAGATCCACTCCCAGTGTAGTGCTGCCTCTCTCAACCACCTCACCCAGAATATTCACCTTCACCTGCACAGCAAAACAGACACACAGTCACACACCTGCACACTGCAGTGCTGAGACACTGCAGCAAATAAAACTGATGACGAGCTACAAATACCCACATGTACAATACTTTTATGTATTTCTGACATTTCTTGACATCAAAAACCATCACAAAAAAATGAGTGCAGATTTGATGTAATGTAATGCATGTAATGCAATAGTAGCCTAGCACTACCCTAGCATTCACCTGGAACACTACAACAACTAGTCACACCCTTGCAACCACCAGAGATACTATAGAAATCCCATAGCAACCACTTGGAATACAACAGCAACCCCCTAGCAACCACTTGGAACATCATATAAACCCATCTAGCAACACCCTGGCAATACAAGGCCATTGCTTAAGCTACGCAACCACTTTTCTAGTTCATAATGCACCTCACTATGTGGTTACTTATGTAATTACATAATTACATTTGAATGGTACAGAAAAATAAAAGTGATACCTCTCAACTTGTAAAGATTAGCAGGTTTACAGTTTACTTTACAGAGGTTTACAGTCATTGTCAGCCTTTCTGATTCTCCATATAGACACTCACTGAGCTGTCTATTGATATGATATCCCACTTAGATCCTGCAGACTGTATTCATTTTTGGAAGCTGCTACTGCAGGACACGGGTAAGTATTACTGGAGATGTGTCTTCTAAACGAGCTAAGCATGAATAATTCATCACTCATAATTTACCTTCTCCCCGCATATTAAAAATGCATGCATCACAGATGAGATCATTTGATCGCTACGAAGAAGTAGATTAAAAAAGGTCACTTGTCAGCTACAGACTTATTTAGCTCATCCCCTGTGATATGAGTGGAGTAGAATCAGGGCGTGTTACAGTGACAGAAATATGCGTAGGTGATAGTTTTGTGATAGTTTGTAAAATTACTTAGTACAAGGAACAGTACATGAGCAGTAGCACAGCAATGAGCAAAGAGTTTATGAATGTGCCACTGTTACAGAAAACTATGCAAATTTGCTCATTTACTCATTCATTTATTCATTCATTCAGTTTTTCAACTGGAATCTTGAAAATAAACTGAGTGTTTATTGATTTTTTTAAAAAAAAATGCATGAAATATTGAATAGAATGTCTAAAAACGCTTTTGGTGTCTAATTAATACACTGTATAAGCATTTATTATGTATAAAATAACAAAGATAATTAATGTGCCCAAGGACTCTTATTGGTATAGTGTGGGGTTCTTAACCAGGTGGGGATTGAACTCCAGTTTACAGAATAGAAGGCAGAAGTGTTACCCACTACACTATACCAACCACCAATACCACAACCACAACCAACCAATATAATATAATAGAATATAATATAATATAATATAATATAATATAATATGACATAATTATGATAATCAGCTGCCCAACATTAAGTTTATATTCCACTTTAACAAATGTATTCATCAAACAGTGCTTTCAAACAACATCTCAAACGTTTACAGTCTGGATAAACTTTCCCGTAACATCTATATTCTCACAAGCCTGGGGCTCAATGCTAAAATCACAAGTGAGTGACTTGTGCCATATTAAAAAATTATGAATGTAAGATAGAGTAGGAAGTAAGTAAAGAGGGGTAAATGCAGGGAAAAGTCAGTTTAAAGTGGGAGGTGCGCTATTCTCACACTGTAAAATTACAGTAAATTACTGTAGTAGTTGAATTACTTTCACTGTAAAATAACTGAACCATATTAACAGCAAATAACAGTAAAATAGCAGCTGTATACTGTGACTCAACACTCACCTGCACCACAAGATTACAGTGATGGAGCTTTATTCTGCTGTATTTTTACAAAATAACCGTAAAATTAATACAGTAATTTACTGTTAATTTTCATCTGGAAAAAAATGACTTTTAATTTTACCATACCTACAATTTTATTAAATAAAGTAAGAAATAAAAAAAGCTAAACTAAATAATTGCTTCAATAAATATTCACGCACCATGTTTTGTACTGTATATGCAGAGAATATCCCAGAAGTATGAATTTTTAAATGTAATTTGCTGAAATATTTGAAATATTGTGGGTTAAATATTGTGAAATCCTGGCAATCCTGCTGCGTTTAGCCCACTTCTCTTTTCTTTTGTGTAAAGCTTTTATGAACTGCTATATAACAGAGAACATGTAGGACCCACTCAGGACCTCCTCGACCCTCTGTATGTTTGTTTGTCTGTTTGTTTGTTTGTTGTGTAAACACAGTGTGCGGAATCTCACCAGGCTGGACGCAGTGACCTCCCCGTAGGACAGACCATCCGGCAGGACCAGGAAGTGCTCCTGCTCTTTGCTGATACGCATCTGAGGAAGCAGAGAAGTTTACTGATCTGTAAACACACACCTACATTCACTTTCTCTCATGAAGCAGGACAGATGTGCACCCTGACCTGCGGCGTTAATATGGGGAAACACCCAGGAAAAAAACTGAGTTATTTGCAGTGCTACGCTACACAGGGAGAAGAGGAGGACATGCACAGGTCAGGGTGAGTGAGAAGTTAATGCATTATTATGTATATAAAGTAACTGTCATACAATGTAAAGGGCAGTTTCTCATTGGGTTGAATGAATAACTGACTCTAAATGTAGGTATTGTGATATAAACTGAGTCTGTTCTACAGTTTCTCATTAGGTTGAATGAATAACCGACTCTAAATGTAGGTATTGTGATATAAACTGAGTCTGTTCTACAGTTTCTCATTAGGCTGAATGAATAACTGACTCTAAACGTAGGTATTGTGATATAAACCGAGTCTGTTCTACAGTTTCTCATTGGGTTGAATGAGTAACTGGCTCTAAATGTAGGTATTGTGATATAAACTGAGTCTGTTCTACAGTTTCTCATTAGGTTGAATGAATAACTGACTCTAAATGTAGGTATTGTGATATAAACTGAGTCTGTTCTACAGTTTCTCATTAGGTTGAATGAATAACTGACTCTAAATGTAGGTATTGTGATATAAACTGAGTCTGTTCTACAGTTTCTCATTAGGTTGAATGAATAACCGACTCTAAATGTAGGTATTGTGATATAAACCGAGTCTGTTCTACAGTTTCTCATTAGGTTGAATGAATAACCGACTCTAAATGTAGGTATTGTGATATAAACTGAGTTGGTTCTACAGTTTCTCATTAGGCTGAATTTGATTTTTGTTATTGCTGTGTAAAGCTTGTCCCACCTAGCAACTGTTGCTGTGGCAGAGCACATTTGTGGGCGGAGCATGGAGAGGTCAGCTGTTGTAAGTGTACTCACTGTGAGGTTAGCGCTGGTGAGCTGGGCCCAGCCATACAGGTCCAGCAGGCGGTGGACGCTGGCCAGTTTACAGCGCATCAGTCTTTCACCCTTCACCATAGAGCCGGGCTCATAGCCATGCAGGTCGTTTATAGGGGTTACCATGGTTACTGCTGAGGATACAGAGACAGAGACAGAGAGAGAGAGAGAGAGAGAGAGGGAGGGAGAAAGACAGAGAGTTAATAATTTAAAACCAATTTTCTTGCAGACACATCTAAAATTATACTAATATGCTATTGTTTTCTATAGGTTTTAAATCTAATTTGTAGGAAGCTATAAAAATGAAGAGATTTTCTATCATGAGATGATTCCAGAATAATTAAGAAAGCTGCATAACACCAACAATTAACTTCTAGAATCCAGAAATATCCAGAATTTCTCACAATTGAAATGTGGTGACCAAATCTCACTGAACAAATAGCTAATCATAGCCATTTCATGGCCAGATATTACTATAAATAATAATAATACACTTTATTATTTGATAATAATTACTATTCTTTTACCATCATAACTCATTTGTTCTAAAAACACTTTAAACTTTGAACTGGTTTAAGATTTGGTGTCTTATATATAACATTTTAATTTACACTGTATAACTAAATTACTGAACAGTGTGTATTAAAGACCCAATATCATGAAAATAACTGTCGCTCGCTCTTTGGAAATAAAGGCGTTTGAAGTTATATGTAATAATTTTTAAGGTTTTTGCTTCCCAGTCTATACAATCCATACACAGAAACTATATGGGAAAAACAGCCTGTTCATTGTTTGTGTGCTGTCATGAGAAAAAAGCCTCTTTTACATCTAACCTCCTATTCAGCCTACAGCTGTTTAGCTCCGCCTCCTAACACTGGAGCTATAAGGAGAGTTTCAGCTCTGTATGCCCTCTGAATGAGGCATAACACAATGCAGGAGCTCATTCATCCTATATTAGTCTTAAAGGCACAGCCTGATGAAGAGTCGTTGGAAAATGGACATGTAAAAATAAATAAGGACCATTTTTGGTACATAAAACCACAGAAATGACAATTAATTTAATTATAAGTGGACCTCAAAGAAAAAAAAATACAGGAAAGATGCAGGTTGGAACGGTAGTGTATATAAAAATAACTGTATTCTGTGCAAAAAAATGTGCATACTTAATTTAATATTATTGCAGTTAATTATAAATTCAACTCTTACATTTTAAAATAGTTGTAGCTGAATCAGATCAATGCATCATAATGTATCAGTGTATTTCTATGCCCTTATCATTCAAAGGTAAACAAAAAGTGTAAACATACAAAACTCTTAATTCTCAATGTTAATTCTCTATTACTTCTGCACATTTTCGATGTTAAAGGCCTTTTAATCATCTCAAATATGATGTCCTGAGGGGACTTTATTCAATTTATATAGTCATTACTTATTCAAAGACTATGTTCATCTAATTCCTGCAGTGGACCTTTTCTAGGTCCCCCGTGGCCCCTGGCCGTCAGAGGCCCCTAGGCACTGATCCCACTGGACCAGTCAGTAATCCATCACTGGCTAAAATAGATGGTTTATACGTACTAGACGGTGATACGGGCAGGGCGGCAGGAGAGCCGTAAGTGGCCATAAAATCAGCGATCTGTCTGAGAGCCCAAAGACTGGAGGAGCTCCCTCCTTTCTTCATCTGCTCCTGAATCAACACATCCAGCTCCTCACGGAACGACTGGAATACATACGCACAGAGCAACAGACAGATTAGTTACTCAAACACCAAATAAACACAACACACAGTGCTGAGCAGAGGTCAGACTCCACCATTCACTTATTTAATGTCAAAACAGTGAGTTTTTCAGATTAGATATCAGATAATCCACTATTATAAGGAAAGAGAAATTCAAAGGAAAATAAGTGAAAAAACACAGGAGTTTCCAAAATTGGAGATCAAATAATGATTAAAAGCTACAGAGAAAATGGGCCTCCTAACAACCACCTGGAAGACCTGGTAGACACCAAAACTGTCCCCATCAGATAAACAGCACTTAAAGCTTTCATGTGTTTCTGTCCATCCTTTCACTGTGAGAAGACGACTCAGCGCTGTGCACTGCAAAAAAATGGTATCTTGTCAAGAGAAATGATCTAAAATTTTGTCAATATATCTAATATTTTCCATTTTGAGATGGTTTTGCACTTATTATAAGATTATCTAGCTTATTGCTGGACATGTTCACCTGTTTCCAGTAAATTTATTAAGTAAAATTATCTCACTATACTGGCAGATAGTTTTGCTGGTTTCAAGCTCATTTCTCAAAACAAGCAAAATTATCTGCCAATATATTAAAATTACTTAAAATGAGTAAATAATATCTAGAAATAAGGTAAATAATCTTACACTAAGCTTACAACAATCTCAACAGGAGAAATATTAGATTTATTTATGATGTTTAAGATCATTTTACTTGACAAGATACCATTTTTTGCAGTGTCGGTCTGAAAGGATGTGTAGCTGTCAAGAAGAACCTCACTGAGAAAAGGAGACGGACACATCAAACAAAGAAGCTGAGCAATGGACTGACCACCCCAGAGTCCAGACCTCAACATCACTGAATGTGTTTGGGATTATTTGGATGATGAGAAGCAGAAAATGCTAAACTAACTTCTAAGACTGAACTTTGGAGGTGTGGAAAAATATCAGCAGATTTCTTTAAAATTCTGAAAAGAATGGAAGCTGTAATGAAGGTAAACAGTGGACAGACTAAATCACCAAATACTGAAAAAACGTATATTATATATAGATGTTGAGGCTTCTATGTAATTATATGTTAAATATGTTTTCTGCTTTTTTCCTGATGCTACACACACACACACACACATACATATATATATATATATATATATATATATATAAAACGCACATATCAACAGTGCAGTGTAGTCACTGTATCACCCACTCAGTAGTGACTAATTCATACACATACATTCAGTAGCTGTATAAACAGGTCCTAGTGTTCCCCACTCCAGCACAGAGATGAAGAAAGGCAGCCATACTCCTCCACTCCTTCCTCTTTACCTCCTCTTCTTCTCACACTCTTCCTCCTCTTCCTCCTATCCTCCTCTGTACTTCCTCTTACACTCTCACTCTCGTTCACTCAAATTGTTTTTTTCTAACTGTGTCTGTGCTGCTCCCCTACGCCAACTTACTGATACTATCAATATTGTCCCCTCCCTCCCTCTTTCTCTCCCTCCCTCCCTCTCTCTCTCTCTCTCTCTCTCTCTCTCTCTCTCTCTCACTGACTCACTTCTTTCGTTCTTCTTCGTCAACCTCTAACACTCTTTCTTAAATGCACTCTTTCTCTCTGGCTCACTTGCTGACTCACGCTTCTATCTCTTTTGTTTGTCTTTCTCTCTTTCACACCCCCTCTCTCTCTATCTCTCTCTCTCTGTCTACCTTTCTTGACCTCATTGTAACACGCTCTAATGCCTCTCTCTCTCTCTCTCTCTCTCTCTCTCTCTCTGTCTGCAGCTGCAGCTGTGAACGGTGATTCAGGGCAGATTATGTCTAAGCTGCGGAGCTAATCATATCTTTGGGAGTCTAATGAAGGGGGAAGGAGAGAGAGAGAGAGAGAGAGAGAGAGGGGGAGAGAGACAGAGCGAGAGAGAGAGAAAGAGAGGGAGAGAGAGAGAGAGAGAGAGAGAGAGAGGAAGGAGGATATTAAGTAGAATGAAGTGATGAAATTAGGGGCCAAAGGACAAGTGAGGATACATTATGGATGAGGGTCGTTCCGTATCCTGTCACCTTGTGAAGGTTCATCTTTAACGTACAACCTGTTTTACCCACCTGCCCACACAAAACACACAGTTTCACACTGAAATGCTCTCTCTCTCTCTCTCTTTTTCTCTCTCTCTCTCTCTCTCTCTCTCTCTCTCTCTCTCTCTCTCTCTCTCTAGCCTTATACTTAACTGCTCAGTGCTGGAGGTGTCACACAAACACAGCCTGCTACAACTGTCGAAACAAAACCTCATTAATCTCCAGTAAAGCAACTTTCCAGGAGAAGGAAGAACTTTCATAACCCTTAAGTTAGTGCAACAAGATTCTATTGTGGGTCATGAAGCATTTCTATGACGCAGTTTTAGGGTCAATTTCAAATTTCAAGAATAAAATCGTAGAATTACGTCATTAAAGTGGAATGTTACCAGCTGCAATATTGTGGCCAAAGGCTTTTCAAAAGGAAGGCAGCACCTCCTCATGTTAAATGAGGGGCGGTGAGTTGGTGGAGTTCTACTTTCATATCGATTCACCCATAAAGAAACACTCAGCCTCCCTGTCTCTCCTGCACATCAGCACCAGCCTGTTATTAGTGTAAGAACCGGCTGAAACGGCTGAGCAGGAAACTGTTTATCTAGAATAAAGAGCCAGACGGACTCGGGGGACTCGGTCTGTGCTGTTGAAGGAGAATCTCAGTCAGGGTCGTCTACACGGCTATAGGTGGTTACATCACCACGGCATTTGAAGAGGACATGAAGTTTCACAGACAGTGAGAGTGATGATCAAAATGACAGATGCGCTTGGCGTCTTCGTCCTTGCCGGTACAGCAACCGAGACCCCATTGTGTTACAGCAGCCCCCCCTACAGTTAGCCCACTTTATCCTCAAAATATCAGAAGTTTATTTTTGTAGATTTACGACTTTATTATCGAAATATTATGATTTCATTTAAAAAATACGACTTTATTCTCAAAACATTACAGCTTTCTCAAAAAATGGCGTTGTACATTTCTATTGGTCCATTCTTTCTGAAATTTTTGCATAATGTCTGTTGACACAGTGCACTGGCAGCCATGATGACTCATGAGCAGGCTGACTAAACGATGACAGATAACCTGGACCAAGTTATGTAACCTACATACTATCATCAGTCAAGACTTTTGATAAATGATAACCTAACTGGGAGAAAACCTTCAATCATGCCCCCTACAGGACGATTTCTATATTTGTATCTTTGGCAGCTGTCTTTTCCAAATTATGTGAGAAAATGAAAAATAGACAGATATGATAGCAGCGAAATGATCGACAACTACAGTCAATCATTTCTACACATAGCTCAGCCTCTGTTACAAGTCCGTTTTGAGTGAATGAGTTTCCATAAAGTAAAAATGAAGTGGAAATAAATGCTGTATGAAGTGATCAGTTTGATTATGAAAGGAATATATCTTTAACGTAAGGGCTGAGATGGGCTGCAAACGCAAAGTGACTTCATTAGGGGCATTCTGATAGTCATTGTCGTAGAAGGCAGGGGTCAAAAGATGCAGATCCATAATCAGACAAAACAAAGAGAGTAAAAAGCAAACATGAGAACCGAGCTCAGAACTCAGGCGTTGAACACAGAGGCTTCGCAAACACGCAGTGGAAACAAAGGCGTATATAAAGCAGACTTAATTAGTCCAAAAGGAGCTGCAGGTGTGTGGGAGAGGAGAACAGTGGGTGGAGCCAGGGAGAGTCCAAGTCTGTCTCCCAGAGGGGGGGAGATGTGATAATATCACAGTAAAGACAATCAAAACTGGCTAAACTGCTGTTCTCACTAATGATTTTAATGGTAGAAATGTACTACAGTCATCAGTGTGTTTACACTGATCCCACATAACATTATGACCACCTCCTTGTTTCTATGCTCATTGTCCATTTTATCAGCTCCCCTTACTATATAGGTGCACTTTGTAGTTCTACAGTTACAGACTGTAGTCCATCTGTTTCTCTGCATACTTTGTTAGCCCCCTTTCACCCTGTTCTTCAGTGGTCAGGACCCCCATGGACCCTCACAGAGCAGGTACTATTTGGGTGGTGGATCATTCTCAGCACTGCAGTAACACTGACGTGGTGGTGGTGTGTTAGTGTGTGTTACGCTGGTCTGAGTGGATCAGACACAGCAGTGCTGCTGGAAACAAGGAGGTGGTCATAATGTTATGCCTGGTCTCTAGAAGTCTCTAGAAGCTGATACCTGACATACGTCTACAAAAATATTGAGTAGAAATATTCCACAGCAACTATTATTATAGTGTAGCTTGCGCACACACAAGCCGTGTCCCAATTCTGGGGCTGCGTCCTTCGGAGGCTGCATTTGAAGGCTGATTGCATCACAGCGGTGCGACTAGGCTGTCCCATTTCGAAGTCTCCTTCATATGCGGCCGAGAAATGTGTCCTTCTTTTCCATGGCAACGGGTGGATCCTTCGCCAGTCAACATATCCCAAGGTTCATTGTGTGCCGGTGAGGATTCGAGAACATGGCGGCGTCAGCAGAGGAGCGAACAGCGGGTGAGGAGTCACTTTAAATGTGAGTACTGGGTTTAAACTTAGTCGAATAGCTACAGATACAAATGTTAAAAAAGGCAATGTGGTCTGAAGCAAAACTTACTGTAATGTTTCGTTTTGTTTTAGGGAGCAATGAGCCGACAGAGAGACGCAGCTCCAGGTCTAATAAATCAAAAAATTAAAAAAACTGAAATCAAAGTTTCTGGCTCCAACTTTAGCGGCGTTTCGTGGCGCAGCGGTGAGGGCGGGAACAGCAGTGCTGTGACGCAAACAGGAATTCCACTGTCTCATTTCAGTTCAGCCTTCTCGGGTCTACGCAGCCTTCGAAGGACACGCCTTCATAGACCATGTCCTTTGAGGGATGCAGCCCCTGAATTGGGACACAGCTATAATGAAAAGACAAGCTCCGTCCCGACTCTCTTGGACTCCCGGGTACGGATGGCTGTGGCATCACTGGGGATCGACAACAGGGACAAAGCTTGATGAATGTGCCACATGAGACGCCACACTGATGGCCTTGATTACAGCATTTGACCAAAAATAGTTTGCATTTTTAGGCTCATATGAACACCTTGATTCATCAACATCCCACAGGATGTCTACGATCTGTAGGATGCTCATAATTGTGATTGATTAGAGGGCTCATTTGCATATTGAAACCACCCGTGATATCAGTACTGCAAAGGTCAATATCACCATAATTATTAAGAAAAGCTATATTGTGCAGCCTTAGGACACAAACACACAGAAAAACAACACCACACAGCTGTGCTCACAGGGCTCTGCAGGATGCTGGACACTCGTTTCTTGGAGCTGCCAGTCGGGGTGGACGGCTGTGGGGACTGAACCGCCTCCATCATCATGCACTCTCCATCCACCGGGCTACGCTGGACCGGGGTCCCTTTAGGGGTGGGAGAACTGCTCATTTTCTTTTACTGACGGAGAGTGAGAGTGGGTGAGAGACAGGAAGAGACAGAAAAGAGAGAGAGAGAGAGAGAGAGAGAGAGGGAGCTGGGGGAAGAGAAGAGAAGAGAAGACATGAATCTTAGTGAATTACTGAAATGTGATCCGCTCTGTAATTTCACTGACAGTTACAGAGTCGGATCGAGTTACGTAGCAGAACTCTCAGCCCATAGGCACGAGAGGAGACTCACACATACACTCCTACCCCCTCCCACACACACATATACACACACCAGCAGTCCTGCGGACGCCAGATAAGGCTTTTTTGAGCACCACGCCCAAAGTCGTGTGATAGGTCGCACTAACGGTCCACTGGAGCTTCAAATGTCAACACAACACTAACCAGGATGTGACGAATACAATGACACCACTATAATACAATAGACAGCACCTCAAAACTATAGACATACACTGATCAGGCATAACATTATGACCACCTCCTTGTTTCTACGCTCATTGTCCATTTTATCAGCTCCACTTAGTGTATAGGTGCACTTTGTAGTTCTACAGTTACAGACTGTAGTCCATCTGTTTCTCTTTCTTCAGTGGTCAGGACCCCCATGGACCCTCACAGAGCAGGTACTATTTGGGTGGTGGATCATTCTCAGCACTGCAGTAACACTGACATGGTGGTGGTGTGTTAGTGTGTGTTGCGCTGGAACGAGTGGATCAGACACAGCAGTGCTGCTGTGGTTTTTAAACACTGTGTCCACTCACTGTCCACTCTATTAGACACTCCTACCTCGTCAGTCCACCTTGTAGATGTAAAGTCAGAGACGATAGCTCATCTGCTGCTGCACAGTTTGTGTTGGTCATCCTCTAGTCCTTCATCAGTGGTCACAGGACGCTGCCCACAGGACGCTGTTGGCTGGATATTTTTGGTTGGTGGACTATTCTCAGTCCAGCAGTGACACTGAGGTGTTTAAAAACTCCAGCAGCACTGCTGTGTCTGATCCACTCAGACCAGCACAACACACACTACCACCACCACATCAGTGTTACTGCAGTGCTGAGAATGATCCACCACCCAAATAGTACCTGCTCTGTGAGGGTCCATGGGGGTCTTGACCACTGAAGAACAGGGGGCTAACAAAGTATGCAGAGAAACAGATGGACTACAGTCTGTAACTGTAGAACTACAAAGTGCACCTATATAGTAAGAGGAGCTGATAAAATGGACAATGAGTGTAGAAACAAGGAGGTGGTCATAATGTTACGCCTGATCAGTGTAACTGTACCATAATACACTGAAATTATATTTTCTAAGCTGTACTGACTCCACACACCCCGTCTCGTCTCCAGGCTTTTTATTTTATTGTTGTGTTTTAAAACATTTGGTTATGAAAAGGTGTAAATATGTACTTTTCAACTGGAAAAAACCTTATTTAAGTTGCACAATTGGACCTTAAAACCACTGTTGTACCTTTGAGGGGACATTTACATTGTTTGTACCTTGATGGATGAAAAGTGTACCTGCACAGAACCTTTATTTCTAACAGTGCACGGTCACGGGCGGCTGTGGCATCACCAGGGTCAAACCCACCTCTTGTGCCTTCTTCCAGTTTATTTTTGCAGAAACTAAATGATAAAATCCTTGTACTCAGTTTATGTGGTCTTTTTATGCGGCACTGCAGAAAAGCTAAATATCATGATCAGTGTAGTCTTATTTTAAAGTGGTACCGTCATTTAAATTAAATAAAGAAAATCCATTTATGAGCAGAATACAACATTTTCACTGCTATACAATATCATCAGTACCATACATAAATAATAATGCTGCATGTTGTTCTGGTGCTGCAGGAATATTCTGCTTTGCAGAGCACATGGCGCTTCGCCAGACTGCATATAGTGCAGGGACCCTGAAGCCGAAAGGCACTTTAAGTTCCCACGATGCACTAAACCTCACTTCCGTTCACTTAATGTAAATGTAAAGGCACATCCATTTCACCTACACAGCAAAGTGGCAGCAGAAGGTCTGCAAAAGCATCTACAGAGGCTCATACTGAGCAGAATGTCCCACTGTCCCATTTAATCGCATGAATTAAGTGATTAAAACGTACATATAGAGGCAAATTAAATGCATTTCAGCTATTTATATTATCATGTAATACATAAACGATATACAGTGTTATTATATTGTATATACAAAGCAAGCTATTTAACACTTTTTAGACTTTTTTTGCACTTTTTGTGTCCAGTCACTGTATTTTAAGTATGCATAAGTAAAATATTAAATTTTTTTAAATAATACAATTTTAATAAATATATACAAATAAAATAAATTAATATCACTAGTGTAATTTAATTCAAATAAACTAATAAAGTTATTGGTAGCATGGATTACTTTTGTCTTGGAAAGTGAGGATGTGACATAATGGTCAAACTGTAATAAAACCTTTATAAATCTTAATAAAATGTACTTTAATGATAGCATCTACTATTTACACTGTAAAGCCATTGTGCTCTCAGTGCACTCATTGCTGATACAGCTGTTGAATTGTGAGCACACAGCCTGTATAATCTCCATAGAAAAGCACTGACTGATAGAATAGGATGCTCTAGAGCTTTACTATGGCTGAGGTCTCAGTGTCCAGTGCTAAAGGGGGGGGGGGCGCAGTGGACCTGTGTTCTCTGGAGTGATGGTGCTCCATCCAATACCTTTGGAATGAGTTGGAGATCGAGAACTGACCATCGAACAGCAGTACCTCTCCTCACTAATGCTCATTCAAATCCTCACAGCAATGTTCCAATATCTAATGTAAAGCCTTCCCAGAAGAGTAGAGGCTGTTACTGCAGCAAATCTGATTAAGAAATCTGATTTAGAAATCTGATTAAGAAATCCAATAAAGAGAGCTGGATTTTAGCTCAGTAATCAGATTTCTCAGTGCATGTAAACTCTTACTCTGATTTCTTTCGTCTGCGCATGTGCGAAAACAGACAGCGGTACCGGAAATAAGCGAGATGGTAGCAAAACACTTGTGGAGTGACACTGAAACCAAATACATCCTTGACGAAATGAAGGATTTAACTATTGTTCATCTTCTAGTTAATGTATGTTCATATTTTCAGGTAAAGCGGCACAATGTTTAAAAAAAAAAGCCACGGCATGAAGTTTGAGTTTTATGCTACATTTACGTCACGTCTTCTTCTGTGAGTTTATTGGCTGGTTGCAAAGCAGAAATTTGATTACTGTCTGACTCATGTAGACCCAGAGTTTCCCCATTATCTGATCACTCAAGTGCATGTAAATGCGTTGATCAGATTACTGAAAAAAATCTGATTTCCTGCAGTTATCGGATTATTTAGTGCATGTAACCACTTATGCTCATAGGTATATTTCATTTTTTCCATCTGAATTTACAAGCCCAAATCATACGGCAAATTATTCAGTAACTGCATGAAATAACTGTACATTTTGGGTTTTTTTTTTTTGTAAAAGTTCCTCTCAAATTAACAGAAAGCGTGTTTTATGATCACACATATTGCTATATACTTACAATTTACTGCTTAAGCCAAAAATCTTAGATGTTCTTTGTATTTGTTTTATAAAAATAATGTTTACAGAGCAGATCACTGAAGAGACGCCATCTGTTTACAGTTTATAGCCCAGATTTGTGGAAAAATGGGTCGACTTTCAGTAGACAAAAGTTGAGAGTTCAGCTTCTTTTATTATAAGGGTTTAAAATTACATCACCCATCTATTTGACTGGAAAGAAGACAGTTACAGCTCTCATACGCCCCCCACCTTTAGAATGTAGCTTATGAAATATGAAACTTATGAAGTAAGGAATATGACAAAGCATGTTTTGGAACCACCGGTGGTCCCAAGGAGTTAAAGAAGGTAAACACACTCAATGCTTACATTTAAATAAGTGAGCTGGATTCAGTTGTCCATTATATGGGCCCTTTAACTGGCTGACTGTCATGGCGATGACCTTAAGCCACCAAAAAAATGAACATCCTTTATCCTTTGTCGTCTTCAAGATTGACGTGTTGGAGACAGACTGCATTGTCAGTGATATGTAAGCGATACGCCCTGTCCATTTATCCATGCTCCAGTGGTCAGGCTGAAGGCTTTTGTTGCTGGTTGTCTGGCGGGGGATCAGCTGCTGAGAGAGATCCACTTAGAGACGATGTCCCGGGGGACAATTTTAACAACCTGGACCCTTCTGGAGCCACACTGGCAGCACACTTCCCCCATGTGTGACCGCTGGGAGCAGAGTCAAAAACCCCTCGCTGCTATAGTAACCTCAATCAAAACATTTAACACTGAGAAAGCGCACAGTAAAAATGATCGGACCTGATTAAACTTCGCATAATAAGTACAGAACGTCACAGATTGTCACATTAACTTGATATTAGACGTTAAAATCTTTACGGCAGCAAGCTAAAGGGCCAATAACCTATATTTTTAATGTATTTTATCATACTTTTCCATATTCCTTATTTCCTTAATGTTGCTGTGGCTTTATGTACCATTCATGTCATTCACAATTCATTTTTACTCGACTGTTATTAAACCTCTTTTTACCACTATGAGTTAAACAAGCTATTTCTGTTACTGTGCCTTTAAAACTGATGTATGTAAATGAGCTCTGTTCTGATTGGCTCTGTATTGTGCCTTATTCAAAAGCAGTCCAGGATGAAACACTCCTTATAACTTCAGTGTGAATGGGTGGGGCTAAACTGCTGTAGGCTGAAAAGATGATTTGTTTTTTGTGGCATCACAAAAAACATGAAATGCAAAACGGCTGTTTTTGCAGCCTAGTTTACATATATGAACTGTATGGACTGAGGAGGGAACAGTACGTTTTGAAACTTTAACAGTGTTTATATACTATATCAAACACTTCTATTTAAAAAAGGAGTGAGGATAATTTGGTATGGGCCTTGTAAAACAATGAATTCATTTCAAAGGGTGCAAATCATGCAAAAGTCATTTTTGTCACCCTTTTTTGAAACAGTTTTGTCTGGTATGTAAACATTGTCAAAGTTTCAGAATATACCATGTTCTCTCTGGTCCATACAGCCCCTATATGGAAACTAAGCTGCAAAAACCAGCTTGTTTGGAATTCAATGCTTTTGTGATGTCATGAAAAGTGACACATTTACATTTATACAACAGGTAGTTCCGGCCACGCAAGCTGATTGGCTGAGAGCCGTTCTAACTGTGCTGTTATTTCACCATAACATCACGGGTTTTTCACAAACACCGTATCACTCCGCCGTTGACAGCTGTAGGAGACGCTGGAGCCATTTGAACGGTTTTACTTCGTACTTAGCCACAAACAGAAAACGGACACTTTTAAGATCACATTTGACCGACAGCCAATTCGGTCAGACTCTGAAGATGAGACTGCATTATATTCCCAAACTGTCAGTTGGGAATTTAGTGTAAGGAGCTGGAGAATGAACTGCCGGCTGTGCAGTGAGTGGGCGGAGCTCGTTACTCTGACATAGCAACAAGCTGCTTGTTAAGGAACTATAATTTGGTGAAGGAACTGCGGACATTAAAACATATTAAAGCCGCGTTCACGGCCCAGTTTATTAATTTATTACTTTATTTATTTAACTGTTGTGTAAAAGCAATAGAACACTCGGCAAAAACATCACGAGTGTGATGATCTACGGCGACCAAATCACAGCCCTGATGTTATTTCGCAACAACACACTCCATCTCGTGTTCTATTGCTTAAATATCCTCCTATTCAGCCAACAGCAGTTTAGCCCCGCCCATTTAAGCTTTAGTTATAAGGAGTGTGAGGAGCTTTTCAGACAAAGCCCAATTCAAGGCAGCCTATCAGAACCAGAGCAGAGCTCATTTGCATATGTAATTATTAAGGGCAGAGTTTTAATTCTATGGAGAGAGAGGCTGGAAAATGGTCATGTAAAAATGAATTATCAATGCTTTTGGTACATAAAACAACACTGATTGGTGATGTGAGAGCTCACAGGTAGGTGTAAGAGGGGAAAAATCAGAGCCAGGAAAAACGTTAGAAAAACTAAGCATGATAGCAGATCAGCGAAGGCTAAGAGCTACAGCAGAGAGGCGATAAGGAAGAGACCATTCACTAGATTGAAAATGAATGGGAAATGTTCAACATAGCATCTGTTTGCAGAGAATGTAAAAAAAATCTAATCAGATTATTACAGAATTACAGTATTACAGAAAATTCGTATCTTTTTGTATGTCAAGCATCTTTTCTTAGTTAGGAAATCTTAACTTACTCGATCGAAGTCGACAGTCAACTGTCATGTCTGTTACCTGGCAACCGACCATACGCGCACAGCTGAAACGTAAACATGTAATGAAGTTAGTTAGCCAGTCAGACAGCTAACGTTAGCTACCGTCACTGGTGTAAAGAAAGTCAAATAAAACTAAAGCGTGATAAACTGAAAGTTAAGAATACTGTGACAGCGCCCCCCGCTGTTTATCAGAGCATCGACGCTCCACAGTTTCAGTCTCCATCTCCCAAGCGCTTTAGCCGAGCGTGCTAACGTGATTCCTCCTAATAAACAGACACACGTTCAGCTCCGTCTCCTCATTATTCACCACCATCACTGTAATATTTCATCATCAACATTAACACACGAAGGTAATCAGAGTGACGGTGGAGATCGAGTCTGCAGCGTCTGGGGCTTTTAAACGCTGTTAGGAAAAAAACGAACAAGTCAAATCACTGTTTTAATGTAGATAAATGTAGCGTCATTATGCCGGTTATAGTGAACTGAGCTGCATTAAACAGTAGAAACAGACGGTTAAAACCGGAGTTTATCTTAAAGTTAAGAAAATATTTAGGATATTTTGGCAACTTAGGATGTTTCTGTAAAACCGTTTTCTTACCTGGAAATAAGAAAAGATTATAGACTTATGAACTGTTGTTTTGTAATGGCTTCTGTCCTAAATTCAGTCTTAACTGAAGTTGTCATGACAACAAAACAGATCTCGGACTTAAGAGTTTTCTGTAATACGGCCCCAGGTCTTCAAATAACTGCCCAATGGTGTTGCCAAGATGGCCATTGACCTCCCTGTAAGGGCTTTGGCTACAGTCACCACACAACACGTTTGATTTTGGCTTTCACTTTAATACCAGTCACTCTAACACCAGTCACTCTATACCAGACACTCTAACACCAGTCACTCTATACTAGTCACTCTAACATCAGTCACTCTAACACCAGTCACTCTAACACCAGTCACGCTATACTAGTCACTCTAACACCAGTCACTCTATACCAGTCACTCTAGCACCAGTCACTCTATACCAGTCACTCTAACACCAGTCACTCTAACACCAGTCACTCTATACCAGTCACTCTAACACCAGTCACTCTAACATCAGTCACTCTAACACCAGTCACTCTATACCAGTCACTCTAACACCAGTCACTCTAACATCAGTCACTCTAACACCAGTCACTCTATACCAGTCACTCTAACACCAGTCACTCTATACCAGTCACTCTAACACCAGTCACTCTAACATCAGTCACTCTATACTAGTCACTCTAACATCAGTCACTCTAACACCAGTCACTCTATACTAGTCACTCTAACACCAGTCACTCTATACCAGTCACTCTAACATCAGTCACTCTAACACCAGTCACTCTATACCAGTCACTCTAACATCAGTCACTCTAACACCAGTCACTCTATACCAGTCACTCTATACCAGTCACTCTAACACCAGTCACTCTATACCAGTCACTCTAACACCAGTCGCTCTATACCAGTCACTCTAACACCAGTCACTCTATACCAGTCACTCTAACACCAGTCACTCTAACACCAGTCACTCTATACCAGTCACTCTAACACCAGTCACTCTATACCAGTCACTCTAACACCAGTCACTCTATAACAGTCACTCTATACCAGTCACTCTAACACCAGTCACGCTAACACCAGTCACTCTATACCAGTCACTCTAACACCAGTCACTCTAACATCAGTCACTCTATACCAGTCACTCTAACACCAGTCACTCTATACCAGTCACTCTAACACCAGTCACTCTATACCAGTCACTCTATACCAGTCACTCTAACACCAGTCACTCTATACCAGTCACTCTAACACCAGTCACTCTAACACCAGTCACTCTATACCAGTCACTCTATACCAGTCACTCTAACACCAGTCACTCTATACCAGTCACTCTAACACCAGTCACTCTAACACCAGTCACTCTAACACCAGTCACTCTATACCAGTCACTCTAACACCAGTCACTCTAACACCAGTCACTCTATTCCAGTCGCTGTCAGAAATCCTCCAAACGGGAGTCATTTTAGCAACACTCAGCTGGAACCGAGCCTGTGCTGTGCTATACGGGACATCTGGCCTGTTCACCAAGCTACCGTTAGCTTAGCCAAACGCTACAGTCCCAAACACCACAGAACAGATTCAGTTTCAGCTTTTTGTCAACATCAGTCATTTAACTTTTGCTCTTTTTGATTTTTATCATCTATACTTGTTTTAGCAGAACACCAGTCAGAATCAAAGCTGTATTGTGGTGGGTGGCACTGTTTGGGTCTGTAGCTGCTCGCTAAGCTAAAGTTAGGTTAGCCAATCAGGCTACAGATCCAAACACCACAGAACAGGTTTAACTTAGTCTTTCTATCCCTTTCATTTGAATTCTTATCATCTGAACTTGTATCGGTGCTTGAAAACAGCGAGTTTGTGAAGAGTTCTCCTGCTGTAAAAGTTTCTATTGGTTCCTGGTGGTCTCCAATAAGCACTAGTAGTATTTTGTGTTTTCCTGATGGGTTGATATCACAGTGTAAAGGACTCTAATGGTTTAACAGGTGTTCTGGGATTGATTCCAGATGCATTTGATGGTTTCTTAATGGGATCTAAAAGTGTCCTACAGGAAACAAGCAGCCTCTAACGCTAACCATTAAGTCAATTCCCGTTACAAAGCAAAATTATTGGGTTTTAATCCTAATGGACAAAAACGTAATCAATTAACTACACATTTTTGTGAGGTTTATTCCATTAAAACAGCTGGAGTTTAATGTTTATCGGTGCTCTCATTGTGCTTCATCCTGTCTGCTGCGCAAAACTGAGCCACCCAGCATGGCGTGTCGTGTCCAGTGTGTGGTTGCCTCACGAGTTCACGTCCTGCTTCTAGCACTGAATTATATCCTTTGTCTCTAAGGTGGAGGTCAAATTAAGCTCCAGAGTGCTGATACATGACTTCACTTCATCCCAGAATCAGAAGCATTATTGCCGTTCGTGCTGTCAGAGTGTTTTATTCTGGATTAGCCGACTCTGTAAAAGCACTCAGTCTGCTCTTTAACCTCTCATAATTGAGTTAAGCTGCTCATTAACCCCACCACATCCACAAAGGGATAATCCATTAAAATAGTCTTTTACAGACTTTTACACACACTTAAAGCTCACACCTTTGATACGCACTTAAACACAAGTTCCCTCCTTTTATACACGCTTAAACACAAGTTCCCTCCTTTGATACAAGCTTAAACACAAGTTCCCTCCTTTTATACACACTTAAACACAAGTTCACTCCTTTTATACACGCTTAAACACAAGTTCCCTCCTTTTATACACGCTTAAACACAAGTTCCCTCCTTTTATACACGCTTAAACACAAGTTCCCTCCTTTTATACACGCTTAAACACAAGTTCACTCCTTTTATACACGCTTAAACACAAGTTCCCTCCTTTTATACACGCTTAAACACAAGTTCCCTCCTTTTATACACACTTAAACACAAGTTCCCTCCTTTTATACACGCTTAAACACAAGTTCCCTCCTTTTATACACACTTAAACACAAGTTCACTCCTTTTATACACGCTTAAACACAAGTTCCCTCCTTTTATACACGCTTAAACACAAGTTCCCTCCTTTTATACACGCTTAAACACAAGTTCACTCCTTTTATACACGCTTAAACACAAGTTCACTCCTTTTATACACGCTTAAACACAAGTTCACTCCTTTTATACACGCTTAAACACAAGTTCCCTCCTTTTATACACGCTTAAACACAAGTTCCCTCCTTTTATACACACTTAAACACAAGTTCACTCCTTTTATACACGCTTAAACACAAGTTCCCTCCTTTTATACACGCTTAAACACAAGTTCCCTCCTTTTATACACACTTAAACACAAGTTCACTCCTTTTATACACACTTAAACACAAGTTCCCTCCTTTTATACACGCTTAAACACAAGTTCACTCCTTTTATACACGCTTAAACACAAGTTCACTCCTTTTATACACGCTTAAACACAAGTTCCCTCCTTTGATACACGCTTAAACACAAGTTCCCTCCTTTTATACACGCTTAAACACAAGTTCCCTCCTTTTATACACGCTTAAACACAAGTTCACTCCTTTTATACACGCTTAAACACAAGTTCCCTCCTTTTATACACGCTTAAACACAAGTTCCCTCCTTTTATACACGCTTAAACACAAGTTCCCTCCTTTTATACACGCTTAAACACAAGTTCCCTCCTTTTATACACGCTTAAACACAAGTTCCCTCCTTTTATACACGCTTAAACACAAGTTCCCTCCTTTTATACACGCTTAAACACAAGTTCACTCCTTTTATACACGCTTAAACACAAGTTCACTCCTTTTATACACGCTTAAACACAAGTTCCCTCCTTTTATACACACTTAAACACAAGTTCACTCCTTTTATACACGCTTAAACACAAGTTCCCTCCTTTTATACACGCTTAAACACAAGTTCCCTCCTTTTATACACGCTTAAACACAAGTTCCCTCCTTTTATACACGCTTAAACACAAGTTCCCTCCTTTTATACACGCTTAAACACAAGTTCCCTCCTTTTATACACGCTTAAACACAAGTTCCCTCCTTTTATACACGCTTAAACACAAGTTCCCTCCTTTTATACACGCTTAAACACAAGTTCCCTCCTTTTATACACGCTTAAACACAAGTTCACTCCTTTTATACACGCTTAAACACAAGTTCACTCCTTTTATACACACTAAAGTTCACTCCTTTGATATGCACTTAAATACAAGTTCCCTTCTTTTATACACACCTAAACACAAGTTGATGATGGCAAAATTGTGGGAAATCTGAAAAAAATAAGTTTTCTTTGGGACCTATTTTGCCATACAAAGCCCTGCATGTACCCCTCCACCCTACATCTACTGTACACCTCCACCCTACATCTACTGTACCCCTCCACCCTACATCTACTGTACCCCTCCACCCTACATCTACTGTACACCTCCACCCTACATCTACTCTACCCCTCCACCCTACACCTACTGTACACCTCCACCCTACATCTACTGTACCCCTCCACCCTACATCTACTCTACCCCTCCACCCTACATCTACTGTACACCTCCACCCTACATCTACTGTACCCCTCCACCCTACATCTACTGTACACCTCCACCCTACACCTACTGTACCCCTCCACCCTACATCTACTCTACACCTCCACCCTACATCTACTCTACCCCTCCACCCTACACCTACTGTACCCCTCCACCCTACACCTACTGTACCCCTCCACCCTACATCTACTCTACCCCTCCACCCTACATCTACTCTACCCCTCCACCCTACATCTACTGTACCCCTCCACCCTACACCTACTGTACCCCTCCACCCTACATCTACTCTACCCCTCCACCCTACATCTACTCTACCCCTCCACCCTACATCTACTGTACACCTCCACCCTACATCTACTGTACCCCTCCACCCTACACCTACTGTACACCTCCACCCTACATCTACTCTACCCCTCCACCCTACATCTACTGTACACCTCCACCCTACATCTACTCTACCCCTCCACCCTACACCTACTGTACACCTCCACCCTACATCTACTCTACCCCTCCACCCTACATCTACTGTACACCTCCACCCTACATCTACTGTACACCTCCACCCTACATCTACTCTACCCCTCCACCCTACATCTACTGTACACCTCCACCCTACATCTACTCTACCCCTCCACCCTACATCTACTGTACACCTCCACCCTACATCTACTCTACCCCTCCACCCTACATCTACTGTACACCTCCACCCTACATCTACACTACCCCTCCACCCTACATCTACTGTACCCCTCAACCCTCCACCTACTGTACCCCTCCACCCTACACCTACTGTACCACTCCACCCTACATCTACTGTAAAAATACACTTTAGGCCAAAACACTGTTGCAAAACTATAATAAAACAATGTGTCAGATATGAGGCAGCAAATTCATAAGCCTTTCATATAATAACTTTCCATAAGGGAACTTTTACAGGCATGAAACGCTTCAGACGTCTGGTTCCTATCACCACCACTGTGAACCATTCTGACTCAGTAAACTTCTATAGAGCGTAGCATTTCACATCAAACCGCGATTCCCTTTAAAACCTCCTTTTTCCCGACTGCCCACCCAGCAGTCTGAGGAATCAGAGAGGAGGCCTCACTGCTGTGGACGTGACTGTGCTGCTTAATCCTATTGATCCGTCTAAAAGGAAATCTCAGTGACCGGATGAGGTCCTTCACCACGACGGAGGAGCTTTTAGAGGAGAGAGGAGGCAGGCCGCTGCAGCCTGGAAGGAACGTATAATGTATAAGTGAGGCGTAATTGGCATTAGTGGTTCTCGGTAATCATGTTAATGTGCAGTAGGCCGCAGCACGTACTTCTGCTTCCAGAGGAGAACACTAAACTTGCACTCTTTAGAATTAAGGTTCTTTCATGGCTTGGACATACAGTTCTAGGAAATAAAACTCGGTATTTAACCTTTACATTATATGGAGTTTATGGTTCTTTAAACTTCAGAAAGGTTCTATTCACAACTCATATTTACAGGAATGGTTCTTTAAAGAACCATCTATAGCAAGGTTCATTAGGGAACCAAAAGAGGTTCTCCTATGGCAGTGTTTTACTGGTCCTCAGGGAACCCCAGGAACAATTTAGGGGTTCCTCAGGACCAGTTTGAGGACCACTGTTCTACCGTATCGTTCCAAACCAAGTCCCTTTTTGTACACTTTAAAAAGATGGTTCCTTAGTAGATGAGTTCATTAGTAAGGACAATATATAGAACCATGAAGACTCAAAGAACCATTTGCATGCTTAAATGGTTCTTTGCATAATGATATGGTTCTTCAGATTGATGGAGAATGTGTTTTATATGGTTATATAGAACTTTTTTGAAATGGGTTCTATATATCACCAAAAAGGTTTCTTCTATCGTTACAAGTTTGAAATCATAACTATAGAAGAACCCATTTTTGTTCAACACAAAACCCTTTTTAAAAACACTCTACATAGAACCATATACAACACATTCTCCATCAATCTGAAGAACCATTCCACCATGCAAAGAACCCTCTGCATGCTTCTTTGCATGGTGGAATGGTTCTTCAGGTTGAGGGAGAATGTGTTGTATATGGTAACTTTTCTGAAATGGGTTCTATATAGCACCACAAAAGGTTCTTCTATTGTTATAAGCTTGGCATTATAACCATAGAAGAACTCTTTCACCATGTAAAGAACCGTTTAATCATGCAAATCGCTCTTTGAGTGTTCATGGTTTAATATAGAACCATTGTCTGCTTAAAAAACCTTGAAGAACCATCTTTTTTAAGTTTTCTGTCAGGGACTATAAATTTTTTTGCTTATTTCATTTAAAAGTTCAAAGTTACTCAAAAACTGCAGTGGTGATCAGTTATGGAGTAAATGTAACTGGTTGCTGTACTTAAGTATTTTTTTAGTGTATCTGTACTTTACTGAAGTATTTCCATTTTGGGTGACTTTTTACTTTCACTCCACTACATTATGAGAAATCTGTCGTTCCTTTTGGTTTATGTGTGAATAAAAACGTAACCAGTCAAAACAAAAGAAGTGCAAAGCAAGAACACCAATCAGGGCACAGCGCCCACTTTGTTTTGAGCTTGTTTTGACCTGTTGGACACACTGACCCAGTGCAAGCATATCCACACTATACTTAGGTCACTTCAGCAGGTAAAGCAGGACGGGCTTAATGCAAACACTGACTGACAATCACACATCAAAGAATTAGTGAACAGATATAACATATTGCTCTCAACTTTGTGTAAATAGACCACAATATAGAAATATGTACACACATGCAGTTGTGACTGACGTGTCTATGTTCTGAATTTATACAAACACGTTTCATTTTATAGTAAATTAGTTTTGTCTAGTTTATGTTTATGAACAGAGACCTACAGATGCAGTTTAGTAAAGGAAACTCATTTGTGAATCTGAGTTTAAAGTTTTTATTAATCTTGTATCTAAGTTGTAAATAAATCTTAAACTGAAACTTTGCTGGTTTGTAAAAAGTGATTTCAGAGCCACTCAGTTCTACCTGATGGAAACTGTTTGCCTTCAGTGTTTTGTGCTTATGATAATTTTAATAGACATCAGCGTCACTAATTAATGACATTCTATTAAAAGACTGGTTTACCAAGAGAGACACTGGAGTATTTTCACCTAAAATGAGTTAATGAAGCGAGTCTTGTTACAAAAATGATAATAGAACATCAGAGCCATAATTAATCTTTTAGTACTTCTACTTTTGATACTTAAGTACATTTGAAGGCAAATACTTTAGTACTTTTACTCAAGTGGAGGTCTAAAGGGAGGAACTTCTACTTTTACTGGAGTAATATTTTACCTTGGGTCTCTCTACTTTAACTCAAGTACATGGTTTGTGTACTTCGTCCACCACTGTAGAACTGTAAACACTCTCCAAAGCAGCGTTCTAGAAGCGAGAGTGAAGACCCTAATGAGCTCATACCGAGGGGAGATCCAGAAGATAAGCAGGTCAGGTTGAAGGTCTGTCAGAAAAAGATATTTCGAAAGCCTGAGCATTTTATCAGTGCAGGAAACACTCAGTTCTGTCTGCTCCTCACGCAGATCCATCCACCTAATACTCTCCCTGATATTGCTGTCTGATGTGGGGAGATTAGTGTCCAGCAGGGTTTCAGAGGCACTGTGAAGTATATTAGACGGAGCAGCTCATTAAACTCAAACTGAGCGGGAAACTAATTCCTCCCATTGATTCACACTTTAGACAGGCGCAGATGGGGCCTGAGGGTCTCCTACATCACACACACACCCGCCCTGTCACTCTCTCTGTCTGACTGACACACACTGTGTCTGAGCCTCTCAGCCGCGCTTTACTACTGAAACACTCAACTACGTGTGTTTATATTGACGACGGTGAATGTAGTGTTAGGAGTCTTGCCCAAGGACTCTAGTGTGGTGCGCTTGCCCAGCTGAGGAATCGATCCCTAGTCTACCATGTGGAGGGCAGCGCTATTACAGACTGCACTACAGCAACCCATAAAACATTTATAGTGTAAAAAAATAGGAACAAAAATCATAAAATCAGTTATAATTTGCCTAATGATGATCCATGTACTGTTACTTTCATTGTATCGGGTGATTCAAAAAGATTCAAAGCGCCATATTTTTACAGCCGTGAGGCGCCTAGGAACCAATCACAATCCAATTGGAAAAGGGGGTAATAGAGTTTCAGTCTGAGAGGAGATGAGACCCCTGAGCAGAAAGCGTTCTGCATTCTCCACTTCAATAAGAGTGAATCCGTCACAACTGTGCAGTGTGATTTTCGTGGGCAGTGAAGCTCCAACAGCTCAGAGCGTTCATCGTTGGTTCCACAACACTGGATGATCTCCGAAATCGCACTGAAAGAGCCGTGAGTGCAGCGACACCCGACATGCTATTTGGGTGGTGGATCATTCTCAGCACTGCAGTAACACTGACATGGTGGTGGTGTGTTAGTGTGTGTTGCGCTGGTCTGAGTGGATCAGACACAGCAGTGCTGCTGGAGTTTTTAAACACCTCAGTGTATAGAACAGTAGAAACAGGGAGGCGGTCATAATGTCATGCCTGATCGGTGTATGTACATGGAAAATATCAGCTATCGTCATCTGCCCACCATGTCAGTGCATCCTTAACCATTATTATCATTATTATTAGAAAGTCGTCTATTTAATAATATTGTTATTCATCAGCAGAGAAAGAACATTTTTTGCTTTAAATAACAAGTCACTCTCTCTCTCTCTCTCTGAGGGAAAGCCTGGCTCAGTCCCACCCTCCTCTCCCTGAGGAAAACATTAATACCCCTCTAACTGAGAGAGAGAGAGAGAGAGAGAGAGAGAGAGAGAGAGAGAGAGAGAGAGAGAGAGAGAGAGAGAGAGAGAGAGGTGGGTGGGGTAAAAACGAAACCATACCACCCAGCCCTCTGAGAAACAGCACCAAAAACAAGCCTTTCCTCCCAAAACAGACGAAAAAAGAAACAAAAAGACCAGCAGAGCTCAAAACGAAGAAAAACTGAAACTAAAACGAAACATGGCGCCTCGTTGTTCTTCACACACGCCAGCATCAGCGTCGCCAGACTGAATCGCGATCTAGTCGAACCGATTCTTTTCAAAGAATCACTCGAACCGATTCACAAGCTGAATCAAACCTTTTGTGGCAGAAGGATTTACACTGGTTTGAGGAACATTGCTGTGAGGATTTGATTGCATTCATCCAGGGTGGATGCTGGTTGATCAGCTCTGTATCACTCTAACACATCCCACAATCACTTGTATCTATTCACTGTTTTATTAACGCTGTTCAATTTTATTTTAGACCTCTTTAAACTGTGTTATATATGAAAAGTGTTATATAAATAAAGTTGTTATTATTATTATTATTATTACTATAATTATCATAGAATCGGACTTTCAGACAGGAAGAATCGGTTCGCAGAAATGAATCGAGCTTTCCCTCACTTGCCAAAATCCCGCGCGCTCGTGGCTGCCTAGCAACACGGAGCGCGGCTCTGATTGGACGAATGGTCGCTGATGGCGACGGGTCTCCGTCTGCTGTTTATTTATTTTTACCATATTTTCTCATAAGTTGGGACTTTTATCAGTTTATCGGGCGTTCAGTCCGATTTTGGATGCTAAATATAGCAGATTTTCTGCTGAAATATGAGCTCAATGTTATCATACCGTTAGTCTGGCTACGTTAGGTGTCGTCTGGTGTTTACCCCCAAAATAAGACCACAACATCAGCCTAAAACACTCGAGCGGTGAATTTATCTATTTTTGTGCAAATACGGACAAATTTGGTCATTGTAGTGGTTAACCAACCAGCCAGGAACGGTTTATGAACACACAGCCTGGGCGAGGCTGAAGTTGTCTTCCTATTCGCCAGCTTCTTGTTCGAATTTGCCCGTTCCACCTTAAATGTTGCAGCAGATACATTCAGGCGCCTCAGGCGTCAGAACGTAACTGCTGCGCCATTTAAGGTGGAACGGAAAAATTCGAACGAGAATCTAACTTCAGCTTCTTAAGGCAGGGCTGGTAAATAGAGACGGAGACGTGAACTGTGGGAATCTAACCGCCAACCATAACACTGTACACTCTTAAAAATGGTTCTTCAAGGGTTCTTTAGTAAAAAGTGATGGTTCTATTTAGAACCACGAGTTCTAATAGAACCATTTGCATGCTTAAACGGTCTTTGCATGGTGAAGATTGATGGAGAATGTGTTGTATATGGTTCTACATGTTTAAAAATGGTTCTATACAGCACCAGAAAGGGTTACAAGCTTCACAGCATAACATAAGCAGCCTTTTTGGTGCTATATAGAACCATTTCACCATGCAAAGAACAATTTAAGCATGCAAATGGTTCTATATAGAGCCCATAGTGCTAAATAGAACCATCTTTTTAAGAGTGTACGGCTGCAGCACATGCATAAGCTTTAAAATAAATCCTTATTTTTTTTTAAAATAAGAGCCTCCGGATCCGTGTTAGAATTAAAGTATAGCAGCTCATCATCCACAATTGTCATTATAGGGAGGTCCAAAGCAGGATCTCGTGATTTTATTCTAGTACAGGAAGGTAAAGGGGGGGAAAACAGCCCATACCCAGCTTGGCCTACTGTAAATGCTTACCTTACACCATCCTCTCCGGCTTGTCCTTTGTATGCACGTCACGCCTGCAGTCTCTTTCTCAGCCTATGTGCTGAAACAGTCGTTTGCAATAATAAAAATTAAAAAAAAAAGCAACTGGAAATGATGCACAGTCCGTCTTCCTGCCTCCAACACGGATATAAATAATTTCTCGTTAGCGTTTCACTATTATAAAGCCCCCCGTGGTGATTTGAAGGCTTTGGTGTGGAGAGCATCCCCCTCTGCAGCCTGGACCAGCCCACTGCCACGCCTGCCACAGCATCACTGGGCGTCTACACGCTTGTGCGCGCTTATTTCCTCTGTCCAGACTAAAACACACATGCAGACTCACGATGTGGTGTTTAAATTGAGCAATCTTTTATGTCTGACTGCTGAAGACTAGATTTATTGCACTGCTGAGTCTCTTTCATTACAGCTGTACCAAAACAACATAACGCTGCCATCTGGTGGTAATCAGCGGTAGTGCAAGTGCATTAACTAATAGGGGAGGGCACAAACTAATGCAGGTTAAAGTGACTCATGGGGTTTTACGTAGTCAGGGTCGGGATGTAGTGAAATACAAGTATTTAAAATATGTATTCAGAATACAGAAATTAAATATCTGTATTCAGTCCAAGTTACATTTTGTAAAGGCAGTACTCAGAATACAGTTACTTCTCACATTTTAAGAGAAAATTTAAAGCTTACCCACTAAAACACATAGTCTTCCAAAGAGTTCCTGCTAAAGCCTGAGTGGACTGATAAATCAATGTGATCAGTTATTAATCTCAGTGTTACTGAGCTCTGCTAAAGCCTGAGTAGACTGATAAATCAATGTGATCAGTTATTAATCTCAGTGTTACTGAGCTCTGCTAAAGCCTGAGTAGACTGATAAATCAATGTGATCAGTTATTAATCTCAGTGTTACTGAGCTCTGCTAAAGTCTGAGTAGACTGATAAATCAATGTGATCAGTTATTAATGTCACTGGGCTCTGCTAAAGTCTGAGTAGACTGATAAATCAATGTGATTATCAGTTATTAATCTCAGTGTTACTGAGCTCTGCTAAAGTCTGAGTAGACTGATAAATCAATGTGATTATCAGTTATTAATCTCAGTGTTATTGAGCTCTGCTAAAGTCTGAGTAGACTGATAAATCAATGTGATCGGTTATTAATCTCAGTGTTACTGAGCTCTGCTAAAGCCTGAGTAGACTGATAAATCAATGTGATCAGTTATTAATCTCAGTGTTACTGAGCTCTGCTAAAGCCTGAGTAGACTGATAAATCAATGTGATCAGTTATTAATCTCAGTGTTACTGAGCTCTGCTAAAGCCTGAGTAGACTGATAAATCAATGTGATCAGTTATTAATCTCAGCGTTACTGAGCTCTGCTAAAGCCTGAGTAGACTGATAAATCAATGTGATCAGTTATTAATCTCAGCGTTACTGAGCTCTGCTAAAGCCTGAGTAGACTGATAAATCAATGTGACGATCAGTTATTAATCTCCGTAGTGGACTTGTCTGCGAGTGCTAAGTTTAGCACTGGTGTTGTATCGGACTCCTGCTTGGGGGATTGTGGGAGCAGTGGTGGACTGAAGCGGACAATGAGAGAGAAAAAAAAAGTTAAGAATTTTATTTTCCATGAAACTTTAACAGAAGAATTAGGAAGAAAACTGGCAACCAGTAACAGTGAATTGGAAAACAAGCATCCCATGTTTTCCATGTGCTTTATCATTGAATCCTAAATATCTTCTGAATACGTTACTTTATCTCAGTGCGTAATGGAATACGTCATTTAGGACACTGCATTCTGTATTCAGGCATCACTATTTTTTCCCCAGAGTATTTTGTCCAACACTGTATGTAGTTAAACATTCAGATTTCTTCTCACGTGCAAATCTGGACAGCAGTTGAGCTGATATTTCTTCACCCTGAAGTATCGTAAAAGTAATTTGGTTTTCAGATCAAGTTTGTTTAAGTCACAAAACTCACACCTATATTATTTTCCTTCTTGGTGGCTACAATATAGCACAGTTTTAAAGCATATGAACAACTCGCAGTGAGAGCCAGCCAGCCTGAAGTACAGCCTCCATCCTGCAGGGTTAGTTTTAACACAGCGTTATTCAAAACAGATCATTTTTTAAAAAAATCCATGCACAGATTAAACAAAAATGTCATGTAAATAAAACATGTATCTACTTTATTGTGCTGATTCGTGCTCTTCTGCTTTGGTCAGAAGGAAAATGACAGCCACTTTTCACTATATTAATGTTTGATGCATGTCATTGCTACAATGCCCCCCCAACCATTAATTTTGACAACATGGCTGTTGTCCTTTTTATTGTGTGAAAATTTCATAGTGACTGGACAAACAGAAATGCTCCAAAAATCATTTGGAATACACTGTTAGAAATAGAGGTTCTGTACATTTTCATTCATTTCATTCAAGGTACAAACAATGTAAACAATCCCTCAAAGGTTCAACAGTGGTTCTAAGGTCTGATTGTGAACCTTAAATAAGTTTTTCCAGGTGAAAAGTTCGTATTTGTTTCTTTTCATAACCGAATGTTTTAAACAGAACAGTAAAATAAAAGCCTGGAGACGAGACGGGGTGTGTGGAGTCAGTACAGCTTAGAACATATCATTTCAGTTGATTATGGTTCAGTTATGTTCCCTGACTAAAGGTACTGAGATAGACCCTTGAGGGAACCACCCCAGTGACAAGAGGGGAACTGCCCCAGTGACAGTTTACCACCTTTATCTCTGAGAGTGTAGGACCTCTTTACATAATCTTACATTAAAAGTTAAAAACGTCAGTCTTTTCCTGTAAAGTCACCTTTTTGGAGTTACTGTTATATTACAGTGACTTACAACTTCCCCCTCAATCTACTACAGTGAACCTGCTTATGGGGTTAGTAGGAACATTTGCACTCTACTTTCAGCCAAACTGTCTTGATGTATAGCAGAGAGGTGCAGTTTGCTTGCATAAAGAAATTAGTCTTGCTTAATTACTTACCTTTTCCATTTCAATGATAGAAACCAGATGCAATGCTGGTGGGTCTTTATTAGACAGTGCTGAACAAAACATAAGGTGCATTCACAACATACTTAAACAGCAAACAAACAAACGGGGCCTGCTGGGTGAAATTATTTCAGCAGCTGTTTATATACAAAATACATTTATATACAAAAATAAATGTCTATTCACTTCTCCGTTCAGAATCAAATTCATACTGTGATAAGGGAAGGATTCGCTCAGCGCTGTGGAAAAAGGAACGGCAGTCACTTCAACTCGCCTGATAGACCTGCAACAGAAAGACGATTCATTATTTTCTTATGAAATATCAGCCAATCTATGATTTCATTCAAATAGTTAAAGGATTAAAGCAATGATAAAAGGTTTTCTGTGAAAAGCCTGTTTCTGTATATGGCACATTGCAATCACAGTCAACTGAAATCATCTTAAATCTACAGAATATATCTAATATCTCACTATGAGATCATTGTATGAATATTATAATATCCAGAAATAGGTTAAATGCTTATATGTTTTAAATTGTATCAATGGAATTCTTCATTTGGTAAATAAATAAATAAATAAAAACATTTTCTGAACCAAACACAAAATATCTGCCAATGGATTTACATCATTAAAAACGAAATGAGCAAAAAACTGGTAGAATAAGTTGAACAACTTCAAAATATTCATACAACCATCTCATAAGGAGAAATATTACACTGCAAAAAAAAAGTCTTGCAAAGTGAAGTCATATCTAGTCTAACAGTTCTCATTTTGAGATTGCTGCAAGTACATTCTAAGATTAACTGACTTTCAGACGTTACTTGTTTTAAGTAGTTTCATTAAGTGAAATTCAGTATATTGGTAGATAATTATGTTTGTTTCAAGCATCTTTTCTAAAAGGTGAGCAAAATCATCTGCCAATGTAGTGAGGGACAACTGAGGGACAATTTAGTATCTCCAATGTCTTTGGACGAAACCAGAGCACCCAGAGGAAACCCACACAGACATGGGGAGAACATGTAAGCTCCACACAGAACAGGCAACCATGCTGGTCTCCCAGCTGGGGAATCGAACCCCTGCTTGCTGTAAGGCGACAGCGCTACCCACTGCGCCACCCTGTGGCACACTGCTAGGAAAAAAATAAACAGCATTACTATATTAAAATAAAGTGATGCAGTTTTTTTCATAACTTAATCTGTTCATCACTTCCACGTGAACATATATTACAAACACAACTGACAGTAAACTAAAAGACAAAAGTGCTGATGTAACGTATTTTAGTCATTCTTGAGGAAACAATGTATTTAAATCAGGTAAACTGGATGCATCACTTTTTTCGGTGCACAGTGTAAACTTCATATAGAGCATTTCATATAGACAGACCATAGGAGTTGTTAATTTAGGCTGCCCTCTCAACAGAATACATGAGTAATGATTAGAAAGCTTAGCACTGTACAAGCTGTTATGAGCTAATTACTAAATACAGAGTCACCAGACTCACATCTGACTGGTAACCCTAAAGTCAGATTTTCACCAGAAAGCATAGCTGATACTTTATTGATGATGGATGTGTCATTTTCCATAACTGGGGTGGCCAGAAGGGCAGCCATGCTTCATTCCAGGGTCCCCCTTGGCTACGCCTCTGGTGTCGATTCAGAACTCCTCCTGGTGGTGCCGTTTCAGCAATCCCCTCATGTTTAAGTGGGCTTTAAAAGCAGACAGGCCAGGACTGGGGTCAGCTCCATTTGAATTCATCCAATTCGATCTCAGCTGTGAATTTCCTGATACATTTCGAAGCAGATGAATGGTCTTCACCTTCTCCTGAATTAAACATAAGCTGATGGATTTGACTCGGACTCTGATGACTCATAAGCTGACTTCTTCCACTCACATTTTTCATTCATATTTCCAGTTATTTCATTAAACTCATTTTAAGAAAATGATGTAATAAAAATGCAAAGAAAGAACTAGAAAAAAGCTCATGCGAACGGCCCCACAGCACTGGCTGAGGAAGGTCTTCTCCCCTCATTTGGAGAGATATACAACCAGCAAGTGGAGCTGCTCAGAGGAGCATAGGGCCTCATTCACCAACCGTCCTTAAGAGGGTCGGTCTACATCCCCAGCCTCACCTGGTCATGAGCTGTGGGTAATGACCGAAAGAATGAGATCACGAATACAATCAGCGGAAATGAGCTTTCTGTACAGGGTGGTGGGCGACACTGTACTGACAGGGTGAGGAGCTCGATCATCCGGGAGGAGCTCAGAGTAGAGACGCCACTCCTCCGCATTGAGAGGAGCCAGCTGAGGCGGTCCCGGTGGGGGTTTACCAGGCACGGCCTACTGGGATGAGACCCCGAGGTCGTCCTAGGACCCGCTGGAGGGATTATATCTCAAAGTTGGCCTGGGAGCGGCTTGGGGTCCCCCGGAATGAGCTGGAGGAATTTGCGAAAGACAGGGTCGTCTGGGATTCTCTGCTCTCCCAACTGCTACCGCGACCCTACCTGGACTAAGCGGTTAAAGGTGATGATGATGTACAAACCTTTGCAAACGTGTAAATCACATGGATTGCTAGAGCTTAGAAACAAAACAGGCTGGAGAGGAGATGAAGCTACGCAGCTGCTTTTCGCCTCTTCTCTTATAATTGTTTGATTTATTTGCTTTGTTGCCATCAAGAAACACACAGACGCTTCAGCATTCACACTACATGTGTTATTTGGTCATGTGCTTCGTCCGAAGGGGGGTTGAGCGTCTGGACAAGTAATACTGTCCGCAGTATTTGTGGGGACGGGTCATCATAACTAATGTCTAGGGGCACCAGAGCATCTTAATTGTCGACAGACTGAATTTTAGACATTAGAATCCCAACACTTAAAACAGCATAACTGGCCCTGCAGAAACAGAGCTGTTCACACCGCAAAAAATGGTATCTTGTCAGGTGAAATCTAGTCGAAATATCTATTTTAGGTCATTTATTAAGTAAAATTCTCAGTATAGTGGCAGATAATTTTGCTGGTTTCATTTCTTAAAACGAGCAAAATTATCTGCTAATATAGTGAGATAATTTTACTTGATAAAATTAGTGAAAACAAGTGAAAATTGTATAAGTTAAATAATCTTCAATTAAACTTACAATAATCTAAAAAAATTTGATTTCTTGACCATATTAAAGACAATTTTACTTGATAAGATACCATTTTTTGCAGTGCAGTTTGAGAAACAAATAATGTCCAAATTGTCCAATTCAGTGAACTCTTCTAACCATCTTACAGGGCAGTTTTTCAGGACGTCTGATCCACTGATCTGCTCATTATTCTTTCAGATTTCTGTGGAAGACGCTGTCCTTACCAAGGTGTGATCAGAGCCGACCTGAACGATGTAGACCGGAACGACACACTGCACCGACATGCTGCTCAGCTCAGCTTCATCTACTGCCGCTGTACTGACCGGAGACGCGGTCACCAAAGTCCCTCCCTCAGATAAAGACGGCCCAGAGACAGAGTCCAGCACCTTCAGAGGAGGGAGAGGGGGGAAGAGAGATAGAGATAGAGATAGAGAGAGAGAGAGAGAGAGAGAGAGAGAGAGAGAAAGAATAAAAGAAAGAAAGAAAGAAAGAAAGAGAGAGGCAGAGAAAAATAGAGAAAGAAAGAAAGAAAGAAAAAATTGAAAAAAGAAAAAGATGTGAGGGACAGAAAAAGAAAGGAAAAGTGAGAGGTGTGAGTTATACAAAATAAAAGAGAGAGATTTGAAAAGGGAGAGAGAGAGAGAGAGAGAGAGAGAGCGCGAGAGAGAGAGAGAAAGAAAGAAAGAAAGAAAGAAAGAAAGAAAGAAAGAAAGATGTGTGAGGGACAGAGAAAAAGAAAAAGAAAAAAAAATGAGAAAAAAAGAAAGAAAAAAAAATGAAAAAAGCAAAAGATGTGAGGGACAGAAAAAGAAAGGAAAAGCGAGAGGTGTGAGTTATACAAAAGAAGAGAGAGATTTGAAAAGGGAGAGAGAGAGAGAGAAAGAAAAAGAAAGAAAGAAAGAAAGAAAGAAAGAAAAGATGTGTGAGGGACAGAGAAAAAGAAAGAAAAAAAGAAAGAAAAATGTTTGAGAGAAAAAGAATGCATGTGATAGATCAGAAACAAAAAACAAAATAATTAAGAGATGCATGTGAAAAAAACAAAGAAAAAAGGAGAAAAGATGAAAAGAAAAAAACAGCAAGAGTGAGTGAGTAAGAGAGAGTAAAAGGGGAGAGAGAGAGAGAGAGAGAGAGAGAGAGAGAGAGAGAGAGAGAGAGAGAGAGAGAGAGAGAGATGAATGAATGAATGAATGAATATGGGAGAGAATGAGATGAGCGGACAAAACGCTGAACAGAACAGAGGAGAGCTGAAAGAGCCTCACCTCCTCCACACTGCAGAGATCAGCACATCTGTCCTCACAGTGCGAATAGCTGCTTATGTTCTCCACCAGCTCATTTGCATCTGCATTACTCTGCCAAGAACATCAACAGCACTGTTCCAGTTTCACACTGAGGTTACGCTGTCATTAACCATCTAATACAGACCCCAAATAAATAACGGAGATATACACCGATCAGGCATAACATCATGACCACCTCCTTGTTTCTACGCTCATTGTCCATTTTATCAGCTCCACTTACTATATAGGTGCACTTTGTAGTTCTACAGTTACAGACTGTAGTCCATCTGTTTCTCTGCATACTTTGTTAGCCCCCTTTTACCCTGTTCTTCAGTGGTCAGGACCCCCATGGACCCTCACAGAGCAGGTACTATTTGGGTGGTGGATCATTCTCAGCACTGCAGTAACACTGACGTGGTGGTGGTGTGTTAGTGTGTGTTGTGCTGGTACGAGTGGATCAGACACAGCAGTGCTGCTGGACTTTTTAAACACTGTGTCCACTCACTGTCCACTCTGTTAGACACTCCTACCTTGTCAGTCCACCTTGCAGATGTAAAGTCAGAGACGACAGCTCATCTGCTGCTGCACAGTTTGTGTTGGTCATCCTCTAGTCCTTCATCAGTGGACACAGGACGCTGCCCACAGGACGCTGTTGGCTGGATATTTTTGGTTGGTGGACTATTCTCAGTCCAGCAGTCACACTGAGGTGTTTAAAAACTCCAGCAGCACTGCTGTGTCTGATCCACTCAGACCAGCACAACACACACTAACACACCACCACCATGTCAGTGTTACTGCAGTGCTGAGAATGATCCACCACCCAAATAGTACCTGCTCTGTGAGGGTCCTGACCACTGAAGAACAGGGTAAAAGGGGGCTAACAAAGTATCAGAGAAACAGATGGACTACAGTCTGTAACTGTAGAACCACAAAGTGCACCTATATAGTAAGTGGAGCTGATAAAATGGACAATGAGTGTAGAAATTAATTAATAAAGAGGTAAACTTACACGAGAAAGGACATAAGATGATAATGTGCAATAAAAATCTATTTTTCAGAAAAACAAACATTTCTGAAAGAAAGGAATGACTAAAAACTGGTAATGCAGATATAAAATGAAAAAAAAACAAAACAAAACAAAACAAAAGCACAAAAAGTATGAAGGAAATTTGCTGTTTCTGCACGTTTCAATCACTGACACAAAAACAGAGTCATTCTGAGTGGTTTGGTGTGAAATGGTTGATTGTAGAGACTCGGATGTCTTTACAGTGGTGGTGATAGGAACCAGGGGTCACCATGACTACAACACAAATATAGACATTTTATTTACTATCTAATACCACCAGTGAACCAACACGTGTCTGAGTTTTTCAAATGTTGATGATGGTAAAATTGCGGTCAAACTAAAAAGATCTTTGATAAGATTTTGTCTTATTACACCATAAATGACGCATGTTTGAAAACAAAAACAAAGCAAAAAAAAACCAACAACATTTTAGGGCAAAACCTCATCTAGAACTCTCATGGCACAAGGTCTCAGACATCAGGCTGCATATTCATAACTACTTCATGTAATGTAAGCTTTCAGAGGCATTAAACTCTTCAGACGTTTGGTTCCCATCACCACCACAGTGAACAATGCTGACTACGTTTCTCTAGAACGTTTCACACCAAACCACTCTGAATGAGTTTAATCACATCCTAACCATTTAATTAGGCACTTTTTTTTTAATTCCCCGTTAAGCTTTCACGACCTCCACTTACTTTTCCTGAGGTGTCACTGAGCACGGAGGACAGCAGGCGGATGTACTCAGTCGCAGCCCTCAGCATGTCCACTTTACTGGGCTTGCGGTCACGCGGCATCACCGGCACTATCCGCCTCAGATAGGAGAACATGCTGTTCAAGCTCTTCACCTGATGATGGCGCCAGAGAACAGCACATTAATCTAAAGTTGAGCAAAATATTTCAGAAGGACAGTGTAGGTCTGCGTGAGCACGCGCACGCACACACACACACACACACACACACACACACACACTTTAAAAAAGATGGTTCTTCAGTCAAAGAAAATGATTCTATAAAGAACCATGAACACCTAAAGAACCCTTTGCATGATTAAAGGGCTCTTTGTATCATGAAAGGGTTCTTCAGATTGATAAATGTGCTACTGATGGTCCTAGATGGAACCTTTTTGAAAAGTGTTCTATATTTCAATCTATATAGCCAGATTGAAAAGGATCACATAGATTATTTCTGCTGAGAAAATCCTAAAGCTGAGAGGACACAACGCTTTCGATCACTTTAGCTAAGAAAGGGAGATTAGAGATGAATCTGTAATTGGAAAGTAATGAAGTGTCTAACCCAGGTTTCTTAAGAATAGGAGTGGCTATTCTAAGGTGAGCTACTGGAGAAGAAATAGCAGGGTCAGGGTCAAGTGACAAGAAGAGAAAGAAGACTTAGGCTCCGTTCACATTACCAGGCTGAAGTGGCACAAATCTGATTTTTTGCCCTGATGTGACTCAGATCTGATGTTTTCAGAGCTGTGTGGACACGCAAATCTGATCTTTTCAAATCTGACCCGAGTCACTTTCATATGTGGTCCTAGATCAGATACGTATCCGATTCGTGGCCATGCGACCTTAATGTGACGCTCAGATCTGAATTCATGGGCTTCTTCTCCACTGCGCGTGACCATCATTCAGCGTTACCATGGCAGCAGCGCCAAACAGAAGCTAAAGCCTGTAAACGGTGGAAAAGCAGCTCATCTCACCTTTTTCTCCTTCGTCTCGCTCTAATAATGAAGCTGAGAGCTGATCAGAGTTAATTATCTTCTCAGCGAAGCTCGTTCTGCTCGTTAGTTTGTGCTGATGATGCAGTGATTCATTCACGTGACGTTACTGAGTAGGATGTGGTCATGCGGGTCATTTCAGGACGCCGGTTCATCACATTAATGACAGATTTGAATCACTTACTTAAACGAGTGTGAACCATCCTGTCAGAGAGATCGGATTTGAGCCAAAAATCAGATTTGAGCCATGACGCTTGTAATGGGAACGTAGCCTTAGAAATGATCCCTGCGACTGTAGATGAATCGACAGGGTTGAAAGCAGATAGACTGTCAACACTTTGAAGCTGAGTACTCTGGGAGAAAGAGGACTGCGCTACAGTGAGGAACGGCTGGTAGATGCTGTTAATTTTATCCCTGAAGAAACAGGGAGTAGATGACGTGGGGGGTGGAGATGTTTGTGTATGGTCCTAAAACAGAGTTTTGGGCCTTGAGCTGCCACCACTTATAATAGTTAAACAGCAGGCACAGCAGGCAGCATGCAGGGCCTCCCTGTACCTCCCGATGCGCTCCCTAAACATTAAGTGATGTATAATAAGCCCAGTTTTCTTGTGCAGGCGCTCAAGATGCCTTCCACTAGCTTTCACAGCTCTGAGCTCAGGGGTGAACCATGGGTGGTACGAGAGGCAGGGACTAGTTTAGTTTTGAGAGGAGCATGAAATTAAAATGTGTTAGAAATAGTATCATTGTAAAGTGAAACCATAACATCAGGAGAGGAGAGGTCAGAAAAGTCTGAAAGAAGTGAAGTCTGAGGAGATTCGGAAAACAGATGAAGGTCAACATATTTAAGGATGCGGAAAGAGATGATGAGTCAACCTAGAATGCATTTGTGGGCAGAGCATGGAAAGGTCAACTATATATGCACTGTTGTTACACCGTAAAAAGTGGCTCGTCAGATCTACCTAAAAATTACTTCATGTGGTAACAAGTAACTAGTTTTATTCAACCTGAATAGATACTTTGAATGAACGATTCTTTCAAACCAATGTAATTTTTTGAGCTAAACTAGTTTTATTCAATTGCTTGTTACCACATGAAGTAATTTTTTAGGTAGATCTGATGAGCCATTTTTTACAGTGTGGCTTAGCTGTGGTTTAGAGTTTAAGCAGAGTTTAAACCTGAACGAGCCATGTGGGTTCTTAAAGTCCACTGCTGTGTCCTCAGAAGCTCCAGTTCAGAGCAGACCCTTGGACTAAACCCAAAAAAGATGACCTGTTTACGCTATAACTTTTACTGACTCAAACAATCACCTGAACTAAACCCAGCTGAAATGATTTTGGACGAGTTGGACCGCAGAGTGAAGGAAAAGCAGCCGACAAGTGCTCAGCACTTCTGGGAACTCCTTCAAGACTGTTGGAAAACCATTCCAGGTGACTACCTCATTGAGCTGACTGAGAGAATGCCAAGAGTGTGCGAAGCTGACAAAGCAAAAATTGGCTACTTTAAAGAATCCAAAGTATGAAACACATTCTGGCTTGTTTAACACTTCTTTGTTTACAACATTATTCCATGTGTTCCTTCATAGTTTTAATGTCTTTAATATTAATGTACAGGCATAACATTATGACCACCTCCTTGTTTCTACGCTCATTGTCCATTTTATCAGCTCCACTTACTATATAGGTGCACTTTGTAGTTCTACAGTTACAGACTGTAGTCCATCTGTTTCTCTGCATACTTTGTTAACCTGTTCTTCAGTGGTCAGGACCCCCATGGACCCTCACAGAGCAGGTACTATTTGGGTGGTGGGTCATTCTCAGCACTGCAGTAACACTGACGTGGTGGTGGTGTGTTAGTGTGTGTTGTGCTGGTCTGAGTGGATCAGAAACAGCAGTGCTGCTGGAGTTTTTAAACACCTCAGTGTCACTGCTGGACTGAGAATAGTCCACCAACCAAAAATATCCAGCCAACAGCGCCCTGTGGGCAGCGTCCTGTGACCACTGATGAAGGACTAGAGGATGACCAACACAAACTGTGCAGCAGCAGATGAGCTATCGTCTCTGACTTTACATCTACAAGGTGGACTGACAAAGTAGGAGTGTCTAATAGAGTGGACAGTGAGTGTGAGTTACTGCAGTGCTGAGAATGATCCACCACCCAAATAGTACCTGCTCTGTGGGGGTCCATGGGGGTCCTGACCACTGAAGAACAGGGTAAAAGGGGGCTAACAAAGTATGCAGAGAAACAGATGGACTACAGTCTGTAACTGTAGAACTACAAAGTGCACCTATATAGTAAGTGGAGCTGATAAAATGGACAGCGAGCGTAGAAACAAGGAGGTGGTCATAATGTTATGGTGAAACTTCATTTGGAAGCTTCTATGTAGCAAAGTATGTCCTTATTTTGCACTGTTTTGTTTCAGGGTTGGGTTGATCATTTGCCCCCAGCGTAATTTGACAGCACATCTGCTTTAGGTGAGGGTTTCAGTGGATCAGCGTTTAATGTAACACACAGCTGCATGTTAAACCCCTGACTTTACCAGCTTGGCTAAACCTGTGTTAGACTGAGACTAAACCGCTGACAGGACGGAGCAAAAGCCCGTCAGCGCCTACGGTGCGTGACGTCACATGAACCCATGCGTGTTTCAATCATTTTCACAGCAAACGACACAGCCCGTCTGCCCAGAGAGCCGCGCTCACCCTCAGCCGCTCTTTGGCGTTGGCTATCTGCCTCCTCTTCGCTGCGTCCTCTCGGTCCTCCGTGTCCACGTAGCGGCCGTTTTCCGCGCGCAGAAACTTACCGATGTTCACGTGCACCGGAAGTGACGGCTCGTCGCTCTCGCGGAGCAGAATGTCCGCCATGAGCTCGCGCTCGGGCACCTGCATCAGCACCGCTCTGAAGTTTCGGCCGGTCATCATTCAGCAGAACCTCCTGCCCCTCAGAGAGTCCAGTTACAGAAGGAAGAGAGACTCAGCTCCATTAAACGCCGACATCCATCAACAGCAGCTCTTACAGCTCCGCCTGTTTGACCGTTTAAAAGGCTAATTAAACTAAAGACCATGAGCACCTGCCACTCAGACTCCTCCCCTCTGATTGGCTGTTGGGCTTCTGAGCGTCAGTCAATTAGCACTGAGACCGGCGTTTTTCATTCACACCACTAGGTGTCGACAGACGAGCGTCTAACCCTGCACGTGCTGTCTCATTAGCAGACGCTTTATTAGTGGTGTATCAGCTTAATCAGAGGTTCAGACGGACTGCAGTCTGTAACTGTAGAGCTACAGTAGAAATGATGGTTCTTCAGTGGTTCCTAACCCTAGTAAAGAAAATGGTTCTATGTAGAACCATGAAAAGAATTCTTTTGCTGCTGTGGGAAAAAACCTTATATCTACATTTTTGTCGTTTTTCAGTTTTTGACATAATTTGAAAATGCCTGTTGCTCTTTACATTGTGTGTAAATTTCATGATGAATGGATCAAAAGAAACAACCCAAAATGACTTGGAAAGAATTCTGGTTCCATTGACTTACATTAAAAGTAAAGTAGTTTTTTTCCTTCTCCTGTAAAGTTACCATTTTGGAGATATGAGGTTTTGTTCCAACAGCAGTGACATGCATGATTAAATGGTTCTTTGCATGGTGAAATGGTTCTTCAGCTTTATGGAGAATATGTTGTTTATGGTTCTATATAGAACCTTCCTGAAAAGGGTTCTATATAGCACCCAAAAAGGTTTTTCTATTGTTATCGTGCCAAGCTTGTGATAATAGAAGAATGCTATGGTGCTATAGATATATAGACAGATATATCCATCTGTAGATAGATAGAACTTTATTGATATCGGAGGAAAATTGCAGTGTTACAGTAGCAAGACATATAATCACACATAAACTTACATAAATTAGGCAGAAAAAATGGTTAATAAGTAGGAATAGAAGTATTTGCATATTTACATAGCATATAAGACATTAACCCTTTTCAAAAAGGTTCTGTACAGAGCCATATACAACTCATTCTCCATCAGTCTGAAGAACCATTTCGTAATGCAAAGGCTTTAATCATGCCAAGGGTTCTTTAAGAGTTCATAGTTCTATATAGAACCATTTTCTTTATCCAAGGAACCCTTGAAGAACCATCTTTCAAGAGGATACACAGTGCTCCTAAATGGTCAGTGGAGCTGATAACTTGGACAGTGAGTGCAGATTCGATGAGATGGACGTGATAAAGAGGCCAGTGAGTGTAGTATATAAACTCTGAAGGGAACGTTATCAGCAGTTTTATTTAGGAAATATAATAGAAGTTAGACTGACTACAAACATGCACCCGTCTTGACTCCAGGCTTTATATTTTACTTTTCTACTGTAAGACAAGGTATAAATAAGCACTTTTCCCCTGGGGAGGTCGGTTAAGATAGACATTCAGACTTTTAGGACTGAATTTAGTATCATGTTTATTTTAAAGCTGCATGTTAAACTCCTGAGATTAGCACTATATATATATATATATACACACACACATCCATCATCTAAACCGCTTATCCTTCTGGGTCGCGGTGGGATGCTGGAGCCCATCCCAGCTGTCATTGGGCAGAAGGCAGGATACACCAGGACAGGTCACCAGTCCATCACACGGCAGACATACACAATCACACACTCACACCTAGGGGCAATTCAGCATGTCCAATCAGCCTGACTGCATGTTTTTTTGGACTGTGGGAGGAAACCGGAGTACCCGGAGGAAACCCACGCAGACACAGGGAGAACATGCATACTCCGTACAGAAATGACCCTGGTCACCTGGCCGGGAACCGAACACAGGCCATTCTTGCTGTGAGGCGACAGCGCTACCCACTGCGCCACCGTGCCACCCTTTTTTTATATATATATATATATATGTGTGTGTGTGTGTGTGTGTGTGTGTGTGTGTGTGTGTGTGTGTGTGTGTGTGTGTGTGTGTATTTTTTTCTTGAAATTTGATCTTCTTCTCTCCTAAAAAGCTAAAAAAGTCACACTGAAATGTTTCAATTCTGTTTCTCTAACAGTTGCACATTTTACAGTGAGATCAAAATTCAAGGTCTAAGTCAGCTTTATTATAGGGCAGCTTCTCCAACTTTACTGTAGATGTTGATGATGTCTCTGTTTGGTCAGATATCGATATTGATTCATCACTTATTTGAGCCCTGTATTGACCATGAGTCACTGACCAGGCCTGCATTTTATCATCTCCGCAATATTACACCCCCTCTGTCTGTGGAACAGTAGTGACGCAGTAATGCTGGTGCACACCTTCATTTAGCCTCGCACTGATAAGCGCAACTTCCTCTTTAAAACCCGCTCTGCTAAAGGAAGGAGTTCATCCAGTTCAACATTCCTGCATAATTCATGTAAATTCGGAGTGGTTTGGTGTGAAATTGTTGATTGTAGAGACTCAGACGTCTTTACAGTGGTGGTGAAAGGAACCAGGGGTCGCCATGACTACAACACAAATATAGACATTTTATTTACCATCCAAACCCACCAGTGAACCTACACGAGTCTTCTGAAAAGAATAGAAGCTGTAAAATAAGTAGAGTGGACACACTACATACTGAAAATATAATGCATCTATTTGTTGGAGGCTTCTGTGTAATTTTCTGTTTAAAATGTTTTCAGATTTGTTCTACACTGAACACGAACAGCCTGTTCTTAATGGCTGTTTTGAGTTGAAATTATGTAAATGAAGGGGGGGTCTCTGACTTTTGCACAGCACTGTATGTAATAATGTAATTCGAAAAATAGTGCTTAATCTGAGAAAAGATGGCCTCTCCAATCATGAATGTGCTTTTAAAACTAGGCCGTAAAACTACAATAAAACAGTGTCTCGGACATCAACAGTGTCTTCACAATCATTTCGTGTAATACCTGACCGTGCGGGAGCTTTTGGAGGCACTGAACTCTTCAGACGTCTGGTTCCTATCACCACCAATTCAGTATTAGGTTTCAATTAAGAAGAGTATCTCACTTCAAACCACTCTGAATGACTTTGTTTACATCTTAAAGGAGAACTCCACCAATTTGGCAAAATTACTTAATCATTCAATGGTTTAGACGTAAACAAAATCATCCAGAGTGGTTTGGTGTGAAATGAGTCGAAGTTGTTCACCATTGTAGTACTAGGAACCAGACGTCCTCATGTCTACACTGCACATATCACCATTTTATCTGCTATCCAAAACGACCTGTGAACTTAGATGTCTCTTGTAAGTTGTTATACGTTACGCTGTTAATGTGCAGTAAAATAGTGCTAAATTCGAAAAAATACTTTTCTTTGGGTACTATTTTTTCCTTACAACGCTCTGCATGCGTCTTGTGTCGGCGGCGTTGCATCACATGGTGTCAGCAAAACTCAGAGCAGTTGTCAGTAACGTTATTCCTCAGAGGAGCTGCGATAGATCACAGTAGCATCTTGCTGGTTTATTGTTCAGAGAGGTGGTGAACTTCGCTGCACCAGGACGCAAATATAACTGGAGAAAATACAGTACGGTGCATTTTTTTCAGGTCCCGGCTCTACGACATTTTGGAAGCAGACCTCCTCAAGGTCCTCCACAAACTCTGCCATCTCGTGCATTGATCTCAGTTGAGATGCGGTTTTGAGAGGAAACACGGAACTAATCCTGGAGTAACAGTTAATACTAAAAGTACATTTTGGCTAAAGCTTTATAACAAAACTATCACAGAACAATGACCCAGACGCCGTCCTATGCGGACCTGGACCTATAACCGATAAACTATGGAGAATTTTGACGGGGTGGTCCTGTTGTAATCAGCGTAGCCTTTCTAGTCTTTACGGTAGCTTTAGCGGCCTAGGAGACTCACAGACCAATCGCATGCATTGTACATATCACGCTTGATGCTACTAAGCCAATCAGATCTGTGTATTATGATGAGCACTGAGACTCGAGTGAGTGACGCACACACAGGGGAGGGACGAGGCGAGAAACAGCAGTCAGAGAAGAAAGTGAGTCAGAGGGAGGTTATTTCACGTCGTGCTCTAAAAAGAGAAAACTAACAATAAATATTATTGAAATATTATTGAATTGTGCTTTATTTGATTTAACGTTCAGTTGTCGACTGTATAAGATGTTGATATACCTACTAGGCTACTTCAGTTTACAGTATATGGCACTGAATCATGATGCAACTTAGACGTTATGATGTTCCGGACCTTTGCTTGAGGACATTTTCTCTAACTGGACCTTACTGAATTTTAATTAAATACCCCTGTTTTAGAGCTATTAAACGCTTTGGACGTCTGGTTCCCAGTACTATAACAGTGAACAATTCTGACTCTTGAAAGGCGCAATTCCCACCAAACCACTCTGAATGATTTTGTTTATATCTAAACCACTGAATTATTGAGCAATTTTGCAAAATCGGTGGAGTTCCTCTTTAATTAAGCAGTAATTTTTAAGGTATTGGTGGAATTTCTCTTGAAAAACTACAAACTACTCTTTCTAACTTTCCGAAGCTCGTGGTCTCGTCCTCATTCATCCCGCTGTCCCTCTCGCACCTTCAGATCGTCTGAAACTGGACTTCTGGCAGTGTCTCGTACAAGACTCTTGTCAATGGGAGGCAGGTCATTTGGTGCGATTGATTGCAAACTTTGGAACTATTTATCTGTTTGTGACCACTCTACCCTTCCTTCATTTAAAAACTCAACTAAAGCCTTCCTCTATACTTCAGTGCACACTGTTCTTCTTTCTCAAAGTTCTAGGTCTTTTTCCCCCAGTATAAAGCATCCTCGGCTTAATGAAAAGCACTAAATGCATAGAATATACGATTAATGCTATTTTATTAACAAGATCTTTATATGCAGACTCTACTCTGCTTGACTGAATGGAAATAAGTGGCTTATACATTTTTTTAATTTGATAGAGTGCACTA